ATAGATAGATAGATAGATAGATAGATAGATAGATAGATAGATAGATAGATAGATAGATAGATAGATAGATAGATAGATAGATAGATAGATAGATAGATAGATAGATAGATAGATAGATAGATAGATAGATAGATAGATAGATAGATAGATAGATAGATAGATAGATAGATAGATAGATAGATAGATAGATAGATAGATAGATAGATAGATAGATAGATAGATAGATAGATAGATAGATAGATAGATAGATAGATAGATAGATAGATAGATAGATAGATAGATAGATAGATAGATAGATAGATAGATAGATAGATAGATAGATAGATAGATAGATAGATAGATAGATAGATAGATAGATAGATAGATAGATAGATAGATAGATAGATAGATAGATAGATAGATAGATAGATAGATAGATAGATAGATAGATAGATAGATAGATAGATAGATAGATAGATAGATAGATAGATAGATAGATAGATAGATAGATAGATAGATAGATAGATAGATAGATAGATAGATAGATAGATAGATAGATAGATAGATAGATAGATAGATAGATAGATAGATAGATAGATAGATAGATAGATAGATAGATAGATAGATAGATAGATAGATAGATAGATAGATAGATAGATAGATAGATAGATAGATAGATAGATAGATAGATAGATAGATAGATAGATAGATAGATAGATAGATAGATAGATAGATAGATAGATAGATAGATAGATAGATAGATAGATAGATAGATAGATAGATAGATAGATAGATAGATAGATAGATAGATAGATAGATAGATAGATAGATAGATAGATAGATAGATAGATAGATAGATAGATAGATAGATAGATAGATAGATAGATAGATAGATAGATAGATAGATAGATAGATAGATAGATAGATAGATAGATAGATAGATAGATAGATAGATAGATAGATAGATAGATAGATAGATAGATAGATAGATAGATAGATAGATAGATAGATAGATAGATAGATAGATAGATAGATAGATAGATAGATAGATAGATAGATAGATAGATAGATAGATAGATAGATAGATAGATAGATAGATAGATAGATAGATAGATAGATAGATAGATAGATAGATAGATAGATAGATAGATAGATAGATAGATAGATAGATAGATAGATAGATAGATAGATAGATAGATAGATAGATAGATAGATAGATAGATAGATAGATAGATAGATAGATAGATAGATAGATAGATAGATAGATAGATAGATAGATAGATAGATAGATAGATAGATAGATAGATAGATAGATAGATAGATAGATAGATAGATAGATAGATAGATAGATAGATAGATAGATAGATAGATAGATAGATAGATAGATAGATAGATAGATAGATAGATAGATAGATAGATAGATAGATAGATAGATAGATAGATAGATAGATAGATAGATAGATAGATAGATAGATAGATAGATAGATAGATAGATAGATAGATAGATAGATAGATAGATAGATAGATAGATAGATAGATAGATAGATAGATAGATAGATAGATAGATAGATAGATAGATAGATAGATAGATAGATAGATAGATAGATAGATAGATAGATAGATAGATAGATAGATAGATAGATAGATAGATAGATAGATAGATAGATAGATAGATAGATAGATAGATAGATAGATAGATAGATAGATAGATAGATAGATAGATAGATAGATAGATAGATAGATAGATAGATAGATAGATAGATAGATAGATAGATAGATAGATAGATAGATAGATAGATAGATAGATAGATAGATAGATAGATAGATAGATAGATAGATAGATAGATAGATAGATAGATAGATAGATAGATAGATAGATAGATAGATAGATAGATAGATAGATAGATAGATAGATAGATAGATAGATAGATAGATAGATAGATAGATAGATAGATAGATAGATAGATAGATAGATAGATAGATAGATAGATAGATAGATAGATAGATAGATAGATAGATAGATAGATAGATAGATAGATAGATAGATAGATAGATAGATAGATATAGATAGATAGATAGATAGATAGATAGATAGATAGATAGATAGATAGATAGATAGATAGATAGATAGATAGATAGATAGATAGATAGATAGATAGATAGATAGATAGATAGATAGATAGATAGATAGATAGATAGATAGATAGATAGATAGATAGATAGATAGATAGATAGATAGATAGATAGATAGATAGATAGATAGATAGATAGATAGATAGATAGATAGATAGATAGATAGATAGATAGATAGATAGATAGATAGATAGATAGATAGATAGATAGATAGATAGATAGATAGATAGATAGATAGATAGATAGATAGATAGATAGATAGATAGATAGATAGATAGATAGATAGATAGATAGATAGATAGATAGATAGATAGATAGATAGATAGATAGATAGATAGATAGATAGATAGATAGATAGATAGATAGATAGATAGATAGATAGATAGATAGATAGATAGATAGATAGATAGATAGATAGATAGATAGATAGATAGATAGATAGATAGATAGATAGATAGATAGATAGATAGATAGATAGATAGATAGATAGATAGATAGATAGATAGATAGATAGATAGATAGATAGATAGATAGATAGATAGATAGATAGATAGATAGATAGATAGATAGATAGATAGATAGATAGATAGATAGATAGATAGATAGATAGATAGATAGATAGATAGATAGATAGATAGATAGATAGATAGATAGATAGATAGATAGATAGATAGATAGATAGATAGATAGATAGATAGATAGATAGATAGATAGATAGATAGATAGATAGATAGATAGATAGATAGATAGATAGATAGATAGATAGATAGATAGATAGATAGATAGATAGATAGATAGATAGATAGATAGATAGACAGACAGCGAAACTATTATTATAGATAGATAAAATAGAATCTCATAGAAAAAAGTATTGCACACCAAGTGAACGCCGAATAAAGATGTTCATAATGGTGCGCAAAATTATTAGTACTTTATAAATTTAGATGCGTTTTTGAGAAATCGGAAATAGCGTAAATTAGTATTTCCCGTCAACGGAAATTACTCAAAATTTAACAGAAGTTAGAGAATTAGATCTTTTACTTACATGTGAAATTTCATTTATCTATCTGAAATAGTACTCAAGTTATAGGCTTTTGAAAAATTCAAAGTGGAAAAAGTACCACTTCCGGTTATCGGAAATCGCTCAAAAGTTGATACGGATCTACGATTTTGATAAAATACTTATATATGAAATTTCATCAACCTAGCTGTAACGGTACTCAAGTAATCGTGTTTACACAGACACACAGACACACACACACATATATATATATATATATATATATATATATATATATATATATATATATATATATATAAATTTAATCACTGAGGACGTTATATAATAACACAGTTGGGTGTAACATTGATTGCTCTATAGTTAGCACTTTTACGTCATGGTGTCACCCAACCCCCTTGTAATAATTGTCGATTTGTACTCAAAAGACTATTTAAAGTAAATTAATCATTAATGGAACTAGCAAAAAAGAATTTTTCTTCTGTACATTCTGCAACTTTTTGCCTTGGTGTCACCCCCTAAATGGTGTCACCGTGGGCGGTCCCACCCTCGCTATGCCCTTGATAGAGCTTGTAAGTCTTGGTCTCTCTCGCTTAAAATTAGAAATTTTGTTAGCCAAAGAGATGTAAACTTTCGAACTAAATTAATTGTTGTGAACCTGATCCCAATAACAACATTTAAAAAAAAAAACTTCTTTTAAAAAAGCACAACAACGTAAGCTATATTTTTTCTTTAAGCTAGCTTAAATTTTGTTGTCGTTCATTATCATTGAATACGATTTTAGCAGAAGTAATTTTTTTTTGTTATCGTTTTAATAAAAATATTCACATTTGTTTGAAAAATTCTAGATTTAGCTGGCAAGCAGGGAAAACGAGAAGTTGGTGACCTACTTTACTACACCTATTACGGCTGTGTATTATTTGTGTTTTTCTCCCGTAGTCTACACGCTTGTTGATTTTTCCGGGTTTTCCTTCTACGAGTGACTATAAATAACTCCACGTACTTACTTCGCGGAATGGTTCGTTGTTTTACTTACGGAGTTATGGTTTCATTTACCACGGCCAGCACTGTCTGGACTAAAAGATGCTATTTTTTTAAGGATCTTTATCACCCCCCTCCCCATTGCCACACATTGTTATCAACTTATACCCACTCCAAAAGGACGTTACATTGGGTATATTCCCCCCGCCTCCCATTTACATGCTAAATAAGTAACAAGAAAGACTTTTTCAACTATAAAATATGATGGGTCGACATTAGTTACATGTGTCAGTTTTTATTATAATTTTTAAAAAAGCCTTAAATTTGCGAAAACAAACTGACAAATTCTCCTCCTTTTCAAACATCGACACTTAAGGTCGAACCCCCCCCCCCCCTCACTCCCCCTAAGACTGTGACGTCATTTATTGACGCCCCCCCCCCCCCCGCCCTACTCCATCCGATTCTTAAGGTACCTGGCTCAGTTTAGGCCAAGTAAACCAGCATTAGTTATAACCAACCACACTATCCCTTCACACACCGAGGTTCCTGACACAGGTAAAGTCTACTTCACCAACCCTCTCTTGTTCGCATGTTCCGGAAAAGTTACCAGATAAAGACACATGCTATACAAATACTGGATGATTTAATTTGATGAAAGTTGTCTATGAATGTTTTAAGTGAACCAGTGGCGTAGACCCCTCGGTATATATAAAAAGTATGAAGGGGGGGGGGGGTGCAAATCGAAAGTTTGTCCCCGGGTAAAAATTGGACCCCCCCTTGAGACGATCCTGGCTACGCCACTGAAGTGAACGAATGTCGCTCCATGAAAATCCGAAAAAAAACTTATTGAAACCACGCAATCGGGGAATTCCACTATTAGTGGCTTGTGCTTAATATAACTATCAAATTATTGCATACAGTAACATTGTAAGTCAATTAAATGATTGATTTATATCAAAATATTTTTTTAATGTAACCTTGTTTATCATTGAAATATTATTTGAATCAAATTAACGTGTATTCTAAATACATATATAACTTTACGTGTTTGCTTTCAACCAGATTAATCAAAACCCAATATTGGTTATTACGTGCAATGTCTATTGCAGAGGTTGCTGTATCGCTCTTAAAGGTAGATGTTGGTTTTATTTACACGTTTTTGATTAGTTCACAAAGTCTAATTTTATGGCTCGTTGTTTCAGAAATCATTGAATATTCACATATTTTAAAAAGGTGTTTTTTTTTCTCAGAATTTGTAGATGTGTGTGACAACGTAAAACTAGTTTTTAATTTTAATCTGATTTGTAGTCTATATATATATATATATATATATATATATATATATATATATATATATATATATAAATCTATATATATATCTCATATATATATATATATATATATATATATATATATATATATATATATATATATATATATATATATATATATATAAATAAATATATATATATATATATAGGCTATATTTTTATATATAGGCTATATATAGATTAATATAGATTTATATATATATATATAATATTATATAGTCTAATTAAATGTATGCAGTGTTTCTTCCATACTTTAGTCTCAAGGGGGCACTTTATATCTTCAGAGGGGGGGGGGGAGAAGACACTGTTAAAAGTGTGTATTGTCTGTATAAATTCTATTTCTTTAGGGGGGAAAAAACTCTGAATGTATGTTGATTTGAACTTTCTGAATATATAATACAACTTTAGAGTTAGTTTTAGTGAAGTTTGTTAACACACTTCCCTTTCAAGACCAAATCCTGTTTCAGTCACTGATTTTGAGGTTCAATGTTCAAACATAAGTTTTTAAAACCATTGGACGTTAAAATGTTTTAGTGACTTTCTACACTTCCGAGTTGGACAATGATGTAGACCTCCTACTCATTCAATAAAAAATTATATTTAAAAATATAGAGATAGGTAGGGGCAGAGGTGAATCGAGGGTGGGGCGGGTTGAGCGGACCGCACCGGGAGACACCATTTAGGGCGGGTGACACAAAGCAAAATATCATATACACATACATGCACGCGTATGCGGCATATATTTAAATTATAGGCCTATGTAGGGTAGAGGGGGGTGACACCAAGAAGTGCCGCACCGGGTGACATCCGACCTAGCGAAGCCACTGGGTAGGGGGACTTGTTAGGTTAGAATTACGAGCGAGTGGGCTTTGAAACGGTAATCTCTGTTTATTAAAAGAAACTGTGGTGATTATTTAAGCAAGAAACATTTGACCTGTGGTGTAATGCGCCTATTAATTAAATGAAAAATTCGACTTCTATCAATAAATCTTGTTGCATCAATTCAAACTAAATTAAACATTTTACTAAAATTTTCAGACACTGAAAGAGAATGTATACAAAAAACATTCTGTTGATGATCGTACTAGCATCGAACCTAGCCTTAACTACAGGTTTGTTTCGTTTCAATTTTCGTTTTAATTTTAAATTATCAGCTTTCATTATTGGCTTTATTATTATTTAAAGTATTTTTGTTTTATATTTTTAATGTTTTTTTAGTTTATGCAGGCAATTCCGTTCTGTTAAAGGGGTATGCAAATAAAACTTTTTGTTCTAACATCAGTCTATTTTCCATTTTTGTTCTCGAATGTTCAATAAATGTCTATTTTCGTTTCAATCTCGCAAACTCTTAGAAACTAATTACTGCAACCGTTTCTCGATTTTTAAATAACAAATAAACTGATGAACTAACCACTCTTTACATATATTTCATAGATCTTTATATTTATTAATACTTGAACATTGTGAGAAAAAAATGTATATAACATCCTCTGTTCAATTATATTTAAATAATGTAGGTTTTTTTTTTTTTTTTTTTTTTTTTGTATTTTAGCTAGTTTAAGCTCCAAGATGGTTGTCGAAGAGTACGAAACAGTTGTTCTAAAACACACAATCGACCTGACTTCTAGTTCAGAATACTCGTTGGTGTTTAAGAAAGATGGACAGATCTTGATTGAATATGTCATACCGACTCTGGACAGTGTTAATGTACATGGATACAAATGGCTGCATCCAATGCTGGATAAAGTCAACAACAGCCTTGTGTTAACTGCAACGTTAACAAATGTGACAAGTTTGGCGCAGGGTGTGTGGGTCCTAGAGTCTCACATGAATCCTTGGAGTGAAAAGCGTGAATACTTCAGCCTGTCCTTACAAGTTTACGGTATGTTCAAGATTTGAAATAATACACATATGTACATACACATACACACTCGCACATACGTACCCCTACATACTTAAACGCATACACGCACACATATATACACATCTATACACGCACACACATGTATACGCTCGTACATACACACACACACTAGCACATGCACGCTTGTGTACCAACTTGTCATTACATACACACACAAAAACACACATCTATACACACACATATGCACGTACTTATACTCCAGGATTATAAATCGTCCTAAAGAAAGAGGGAAATTTCTTAATCAATCCCCAGAAAAGCCAAAAGGTCTGAAATGCTATTCAGACTGGTCTGAGCAATGTATGACAATGAACTGTAGCTTTCAGACAGCAATGTCTCCTGACAAAATATTTCAGGTACTTATTTATAATAATCCTGTGTTTGTACTAAACGTTTCTATTGCAACCTTATTTCTATATTTTAACTGTCTAATATTGGCGTTAATTTTTGTATCTGCTTTGTAAGCAGAGGTGGGGGGGGGGGGAGGGGGGGTAATTCGACGTAGTGTAATGTTTTAAGTTGTGAAAATAAAATAAACCGGGAGTGATCTCCCCTAAACTTTCTCGAATATTCTTATATAAAACAACAGGGGATGGGAACTCGGGCTATAGACATGATTTTTAATCCATTTTAAATACTTAAAGTTTTAAAAATAGAATAAAATCTCGTAGACAAAAGAATTGCACACCAAGTGAACGCCAAATAAAAAAGTGCATAATAGTGCGCAATATTAATAGTGCTTTAAAAATTTACATTAGTTTTTTGAGAAATCGGAAGTAGCGTAAATTACTACTTCCGGTCAATGGAAATTTCTCAAAATTTAACAGAAGGTAGAGAATTAGATCTTTTACTTACATGTGAAATTTCATTTATCTCTCTGAAATAGTACTCAAGTTATAGGCTTTTGAAAAATTCAAAGTAGAAAAAGTACCACTTCCGGTTATCGGAAATCGCTCAAAAGTTGATACGGATCTACGATTTTTATAAAATACTTATATATGAAATTTCATCAACCTAGCTGTAACGGTACTCAAGTTATCGTGTTTACACACGGACAGACAGACAGACACACAGACATACGGACAGAATTGCAAAGCCCAGTTTTTCAGACTGGATTATGTATAAAACCTCTTAATTTTGATAAATCTGGATTGATAATTTTTTGCCCGATTAAATAAGTCCTCTATACTTCGGATGTGATGAAGGACTGAGGTGTAATACGGTGAAAATTGTTAAAATTTCAAGTGATTTTTGTGCACGATTACAATACTTTCTCTATACTTCGTATATACGAGAAAGTAAAAATTCAAGGAAAAAAACTGGAAAGGGGGTGGAGGGGGGGGGGGGGCTTGGAGTTCTGTGAAGATATAGGGGTAGAACAAAAACAAAAAAACAAATTAACTGTCATGTGGGTTATTCCAAGTTGTTAATTCGTGAATTAAATAGCTGAGTTAACACAATATATAGTAGGCTTCACAATTAATTATCACACGGAAAATTAAACCATTTAATTAAGTCTTTAAAGAGAGCATAGGAGAGCGAATTATCTTACAAAAAAAAAGTTAAAAATAATTATTTATATCAGTTTTGTTTTCGAAAAAACATGTTTTATTTTTAAGATTTTTAATGATTAAAGGGCTATATTCCTAAAAATTTAGATCTTTGCGATCTCATTAACAATAATTAACACGCTTACTTTAAACAACCCTTTACCAGGTAACCTTGACCTTGGGAAACAGGCGTGAATCACACAGGGGTCTGCAGTCCGACCCCATCACGTGACCAGGACTTGTACACAACGGTATGTCTGGCACAGTTCCCCACCGTAGACCTCCCGCACGGCAACCACACGCTGAACGTCTACGTCCTGCCCAGTGGGAGCTCAGAGACTGAACTAGTACACAACACCCGTATCCAGATCCCTCTTGTTATAGGTCAGATTTTCTTTGTTTTCTTCTTCTTCTTCTTTGTTCTTAATTTTAGTGTTGGAAGGGATCCCCTCCAACACAATTAAGGATACATGTCAACTGGTTATGCGACATTGAGGCCATTGACTCCGATTTCAGCAGCCTGCTTTTCTTTTTGGATTTGCTTCCATAGCCAAAAACAAACTACAAGGCAGCAGTTTTTTCTTATCTTCTTCTTCGTTCTTAATTTTAGTGTTGGAAGGGATCCCCTCCAATACAGTTAAGGATACGTGTCAACTGGTTATGCGACATTGAGGACATTGACTCTGATTTAAGCCTGTTTTTCTTTTTTGGATTTGCTTCCATAGCCTTTGTCCAAACCAAGAAACAAACTACAAGGCAGCAGTTATTTGATTTTGGAGTTGTCTTTGTTTTGAATTTACTATGTTGATCTTTTGATTACGGCGTAAGCTTGTGATTCTAAAGAGTGGTACATAAACCGGGTTCGGTCGAACCCCAGGGGTTCGGTAAGTTAGGTTTAGGGGTTCGGCGTAGGTCAAGACAGAGACCTAACTAGTATGATACACAGTTGGATTTTGTCAGTGCGGACGATACAACTGTTAAGGAGGGTTCGGTGAAAGCAAACATGACAATGATGGGACTCGGTACCCCCCCCCCCCCCCAGATCCCCCCCCAGATCCCCCCCCCCCCCCAAAAAAAAAAGATTAAGAACCACTGGTCCAAGATGAAGGAAACGCTCGATTTAAAAAAAAAAAATCACAGTCAAATCAAATATGTTCAAAAATTTTTAATTTATTTTGTAAGTCTTTATAATGTCGGATTACGTGCTCCACTAAACGTGCCTCACCCCCCCGCCCCACCCTCCGAGTTTAATTTCCCACCCTTTTAAACAATCCTATAGTAAGAAACTCTTGATGTCTTGATGATACAGTTGTACTGGATAAGTTAATTAATTTCATACTGGACCTGTTTTAGCTTTAGAAGTATGTATTTACTTAAGCATATCGGGGTGGGTGGTTTGAACATTTGTGACGAGTGAAGGGTTGTGTCAAGAATGCATAACTTGATTCTACCATTTAACACTTAATTTCAGCTGAAAAAAAAAAATAAAAGTTCTGAATTGTAAGTCATCAATGTAGCTTATTTTGAAGCAACTCAATAGGGCTGGTAAGTAGGTCACCAACCAGTTCTACGGATCAATAAAACCTGCATGAGACATATAACTGTTTGGTGACCTACTTACCAGCCCTATTACTATTGGAAAACAGTGTCTGTTTCAATAAAGAAAATATTTCTATCTGGACAGGGGAGTGAGTAGGGTCAAGTGGTATGCCACTTTAAGGGTGTGGTAGGACTATGGGTGAGGATTTGTGAAAATGGGTTCTCAGAAAAACACGCAAGGAAAAAAAAGCGCAAACACAAACTCATTTTACTAATACACTTTCATTTGGTCAAGTTAGATCATAAAATGTTTAAGAAAATTTTTGTGAGCGTCATAAATGGATGACTCCTAATCTCTTATTGAACGTTAAAAAAACTCTGGCAGTGTGCGTCATTGGTTCTGCCTGTTTCTATCTGTCGCAGAAGTTCCGGCGGTTAAAGTAACGGACTGTTCTGAAATCTCAGCACCTGATGAGTCGGTGATCAACTGCACGTGCGAGAGGCTGGACGCCAGCAACATCACCACGGAGATCACGTGGCACATCAACAACGTGACTGCGAACAGCCAATCAGCGCTGATCATCCAGAATCAAGATGGCCGATCATCAACCATATCGATGACTACAAATGGCGAATCGACAGGTTAATATTAAGATGGATTTATATTTCATTATAAGAATAGATAAACAATAAGTTTAAAGCTTTTATTATAGAAGATGAATCCTCTCTTCAAAACGTTATTTTTTGGTTTCTGAAGCTTGTTTACAATTTTTTTTTTGAGTTTGAGAAAATGTTTGTGCGTATCTCTTGTGGCCTAGTGGTAGAGAGCTTGACTGCTAACGCGTATGTCTCAAGTTCGAATCCGGGTTCAACGCAGTAGACCGTCCCTGAGTCCACCCATCTCTACTGGGTACCTAACTCACGTTAGGGAAAGTAAAGGCGGCTGTACATAATGCTGACCACACTATCCCTCCATATGCCGAGGTCACAGAAAACAAGTAAACTCTACTTCACTTGCCCGGGGAACTTTAATTACTTACTTGTTAAAGTAAGTTAAGATGTGCACAAATCAGGTTTAAACAAAGACTTCGAGTCAAAGTGTCTTTATTCTTTATATTATGACTCCAATGGTATCGCGTGGTTGAACGGTAAGAGCGCACGATTATTAATCGTTAATCTCGAGTTCCGTTGACGAGTTCAAATCCGTAGGATTTTCATTGGTCAACTCTCAGGGGTACCTAACTCGAAGTGCGGAAATTCCCTACTGTCGAGCCGGGTACTCGTCGGTGGGGTACGAGTTAACCCTGCGTTCAGTGGGGTGGAAGATAAGCCTGGTGAGAACTAAACGACAGAAGCGACAGATAAACGGTTATCAAACCGATATTCAAGACAGTTAATCGGAGTTTGCCTTGTTGAGGCCTGCCTGGCTAATAGCAGACACCCCTTGAGCCGATAATGTCTGTAAAGAAAGAAAAAAAGTTGCGGACTGTAAACACGGCTGAAAATAGTTCTGACAGCACTATACATTCATCCAAGAAATTTCCCCGCCCCATATGCTGTCTTGTATGAAAGGGTATTTAATTTAATTTTTTTTTTAAAATTATTACTTTGAATTTTAAAATAGTTTTATTTTTCATTGTTTCCAATCGCTAGAAATTTCTTGCCTAGCAACGAATGCTTTCAGTTGGCAGAGTAAAGTAGCCTCGGCCACACCCGAACGAAAAGGTATTTCAGTTTTTATGTAACAAATGGTAAATCTATTAGCCAGACCGGCAATATCTTATTTCACTGGCCACTATATTTTACTCACAAACACATTCATGCAGTGGCGTAGGCAAAGGGGGGGGGGTGGGGGGTAGGGGGGGGGTTATAACCCCTCCCATGGACTCACACCTCTCTCTCTCTCTCTCTCTCTCTCTCTATATATATATATTTATATATACTATATATATATATATATATATGATTTTATACAAATTAAAAAATATTTGAACCCCTCCCATGACCGATTCCCTGGCTACGCCGCTGCATTCATGTGTTCAGATATGACAACTTAGACATGCAGCAATCTAGCCACTTAGACATAAAGTCTAGACCCAGTCGTTATACCTGAAAGAGATTGAAAAAAAACCCCGATTGAAAATACTAGTGACCTAGATTAGATCTAAGTTTAGATTTAGAGGACAGGCTTAAATCGAGACCTAATTGTTAAAATATCATTTTACGAACACTGTGAACGTGTCCGGATTTTTTTGTCATGAACTTGAAGTTTTATTTTTTATAAATCGTTTGTTTTAATATGATATAATGCTGATAACCTTACACAATTAGCAATTTAAATTGGTCTATATCTGAAGATTTAATGAACTTTTTTCTTTACAGTTAAGATAACACAAAGAAAAGAGGAGCCAGATACAAATATTATATCAATTATAATTCTAATCGTCATTGCTGCGATGATTATAATAAGCCTACTCGTATGCTGGAAGACTGGTAAGTTTTGAATTTTAAAATCAGTTTTTCTTGACCGTCATATACTTTCAATAAAGATGTATCCAAAATTTCAAAGTAACGGAAAATATGTGTACTAAAATAAATAACTATTACTTTCTACTTAGGGGTCATCCATAAATGACGTCACACTCGTAGGGGGGAGGGGGGGGGGGGTCCGTTATTTTGTGACGATGTGTGATGAGGGGGAGGGGGGGGGGGGGGGGGGGGTCAGATTGTTGCGACGTCACATTTTTGCATTATAAAAAAGCAATGTTAGAAAACGAATTTTAGACGTTATTTCGCGTTTTAGATAACTGTTTTAATAAATTGTAATAGTTTAGACAAGAATTTGGAAAAATATCGATGTTTTTAAAAAAATTCAACTGCAATTTTTGAGGGGGGTATGTAGGTTGAGGTGTGACGTCATTTCAGGGGGGGGGTCTGGCTTTTTGTGACGACGTGTGACGGAGGGGAGGGGGGGAGGTAAAAATCGTCAAAAAAAAGCGTGACGTCATTTATGGATGACCCCTTACGATGTATCAATATACTGTTAAGTTTCATTTTGATATTATTTTTTGTAAGGTTTGAATAAAAAACTACTCTGCAGTTCACAGACGTGAGTAAACTTAGATAAAAAATTTCCCATCACTTTTACGTTATTTCTTATGTAACCACATTTTTCTTTTACTCGTGTATAGAACTTCAAGTATTATGTAGTCCGAAATTGATCATTTTGAGCCAACATATACCCATATAACATTGTAGGCCTATAACATACTCCTAGACTACCCAAATCAAATCTCGCAAGTTAAAAAAACATAGTTTCTATCTAAAATACATTTAAAAAAAATTTCGCTCGGATTGTTCTCATCATCTATCACTTTAAACCTGGGTGTGCATGTTAGTTATTTCCCTTTAAGGTTTGGGTTACCCCACTTTCACTATTTTGTGGACATGACATTCAGAGTTTCTTCCAGGCATCTCTTCGGGGGAGGGGGGGGGGGGGCTAAGCCCCCCCCCCCCGAATTTTTTTACCGCCCCCCCCCCCCCGAACGAAATGAAATTTATATGATTTATATAGAAAATATATACTTTTAACAGTGTCCGCCCCCCCCCCCGAAGAAAGTCTACCGCCCCACCCCCCCGAAAATTTCAAGTGCCCCCCCCCCCCCCCCGGAGAAAAAAGTCTGGAAGAAACACTGATGACATTCTCTCCAGAAAACCAAACTAACCCAAACTTACTTTTTGAGTTTTTTGTTACTTTTGTAGAGCTTTGTATATTTAATAGATCTCCTGATAAGTATATATATATATATATATATATATATATATATATATATATATATATATATATATATATATATATATATATATATATATATATATATATATATATATATATATATATATATATATATATATATATATTCTTATTAAAATATTTTACAGACGTGTTGAAGGACCTGGATGTCAAGAAAGTATAGGTAACACATTTCGTTATGTTGCTTCTTATGACTTGTTCTCTTCTGTGTTTCACTCAACTCATATCATATTTATGTATTTCACTCAAGTCCATCATACTTATCAACTTCATTCAACATATCATATTTATGTATTTCACTAATCGGTTGTTATAGTTTAAATTTATTGTGTTATGTATTCAGCAACACTTATTTAATCGATGTAATTGCTACTCTTAGTCAGACAATCAGAAAGACGTATTTATTATTTCTAAATTTCATTCTATCCCCAGCGTTACGAAGCAAAGAACTGGATAAGTATGAATCGTGCTAGGGATTTGTTCAGAGTTTGTTAGCCATGTTACATAAGGGTTTAGTTCTTACTGTCACACTTTTGGTTGTTTTTTGTTTGTTTTATATTTGATCTCAATATAAGACTAAGGTTGTGTCTAAATGTCTGAGTAGGAATTTGTTCTGTTGTGTGAGGAGTTTGTTCCGATTCTTAAGATCAGGATTAGTGGGGCAGGGCGTAGTTTGACTTGTAGCAAGGGTTAGAGTTAGGGTACAACTACTGCACACAAAAAAGAATGTATATATATATATATATATATATATATATATATATATCTATTCGTCTTGTTGTAGATTAGATGTTCAATATTTTTTGTGTTTACATCCAGGTTATGCGTGCTTACCCTAGGCAGACTGGGGTCTGGAAAAAGCGCTACCTGTAACCTAATTCTTGGTCGCCCTCGATTTAAAGAAAGTGCCAACACCACTCCCAAGACGACCAAATTCAAAAGTGCCACTACACAAGTGCAGGGCAGAGAACTCACTTTATTCGATAACCCGGGCTTATCATTCAAAGATAGTTACGGAAAAAAATTATTGGAGTTTATGCACGAAGCACTTTACGCACTTTCTTTACTTTTACATCGAGAAAACCCCAATGGTTTCAACGCGTTGATCTACGTTTTTAAATACGCCTCTAAATTTAACCCAGATGATAAGACCTTGCTAGCCTTTCAAGAGACAATGGAGACTGATTTCCTGAGAAAATATGGCATTGTTGTGGTGACCAACATACACAAATTAGATACAGATGAGTATAAGAGTGTTAAAGAGTGGTGCGATGGTCAGACTGGTGGGTTTAAGGAGTTAGTGGAAGCGTGCCAGAATAGGGTTGTGTTTGTCAACAATAAAGAAAAGGACGCAGATGAACGTGAAAGAATGAGGAACAAGATAATTGAAATGATTATTGAAATAAGCAAGTCCCATGCCCCTTTTAACAGAGATGCAACACAGAGCACTATATCCATGCATGTTAGAAACATGTTCAGACATATCTACAAATATTTTTCCCGATAAACTTTTATCTACTTTAAAATAGTTTAGCTGTCTCTATTCTGCTTTTATTTTTTACCATATATTATATATCCTCACTACCAACCACACACACACACACACCACCAGCATCAACAACACACCCGCACTACACACACCCCTACTATCAACCACACCCACCCACCATCAACGATAGACCGAAATGCTTACTCTTACACCAGCATCCCCCACCGTATTTTGTCTCTCAAAGATGAGAAGCTATATGGGCTGTTATTGGTTTCTCTAACAAGTTAACCAAGCCTTGACTCTCATTGGCTGAACTTTGCTGGTGTGGTCCTTGCACTTCCTTATATATATATATATATATATATATATATATATATATATATATATATATATATATATATATGCGCGCATTGGCCGGCTCTCTTGGCCAAAGCTCGAAGAACTTAATACTAAGATCGCATTTCGTACATTGGCCGGCCAATGCGCGCACTGGCCGAGATGTCCTGGCCAATGTTCTATCTAGACTAAGTTGTGATCGCGTTTTCATTATTCTGGGTGCGGTTTCATTGTGAGTAACGTATTGTTAAGCTCTTGTTTGTATAGCATTCTATATGCAAGGCGACATGGATCAAAAGGGCCGTCAGACCATGAGACAGACATAGCAGATGGCTGCCAAAATAAATAATCCAAATCCTAATGGAAAAGAATTTGTCAATCAAGTTATTTCTGAACTAAAGAACATGTGGCCTGAACTTAAACTAGTTCACCGAAAACCAACCTTACAACCGAAAGACACAATTGAGTCTGTGATCATTCTCTTTATTAATGCTGGGAATTCCCCATAAGTGTAGTGTACATTTAAAGCAGAACGTGCAGTAATGGTGAGATGTAAAATCGGGTATCCCTGTTTTTATATTAAAAAAACCGCAAGAAAATAAAAATGGAATTTATTTTCCCTTCATCGACGTAAGCGTTAGAAAAAGGATTAGGTCTAAGGCAGTGGTTCTTAACCATTTTAGAGGGACCGAAAGCCACTAATTGTTTATGCGCATTCAACAAACCCTTCTTAATAGTTGTTTTGTCCGCAATGACAATGATTGACAAGATCCGATCGTAAATCATATGAGTCGGGTGTGTGTCTTGACCTCACTGAGACTGACGCAGCGAACCCCAAGGGTTCGATTGAAGCCAAATTAAGAACCACTGGTCTATGGCTAGGGTCAGGAATAATGTCTTGACTAGGATTACTGAAGGGCTAGGGTTATCGTTTGGTCCAGGATTAGCTATGTTAGCAAAGAATATTGACCGGAATTCGTCCTGCTGACGTTATAATACGGACAGACTTTCCTGGGAAACTTTTCTGTTGTTGGTAACGCAGTCTCGAATGGCTTTATCAAGGCAAGGTAAGTTAAAGTTCTAATACATATCTATGTTATTGTAAGAAAGCCACACAAAACCTTAGTAGACACAAGCCGTTAATTAATTTAGTACTGTGTACGTATTTGTAGATACAAAGTTGTAGCACGGTCAAGTGTAAATTTATAAATATCAATAAACTATCAACTTTGAAAGTGGTTTTATGCTCCGTGTGAAAGAAAAATCTGCCTCGGCGTTTAGAGTTCTCTCTGGATTCGTTTTCCACAACCAATTTATTCCGCTTTAAGAAGATAGCCTACTGCTCTGAATAATGAGTTCAAAGCACACTGAAAAATATATAGTCTAAATAAACGAAAAAGATGGGAACATGAAAAATGATTCTAATATTTTGTTACCATATCGTAGGGGGTTAAATTATTGTGAATTACAGTAAAGTATGAGCAACTATTGAATCGTTTGTTAACAATAATACGACAAAATGGTCAGTGTTTCTGGTGAGATGAAGCTTAGGCCCTATATTAGAATATTAATTACGGCGCAAATAAAGATTCTATCAAACAACTAATAAATAATTAAGTTAAATAGTAAATTAGTCATTAGTTGTTGTTTGTCATACTCGATTAGACAAGTAAGCTTCCATGACAAAAGACAAACACTGTACTAGATCTACATCGTTGTTATTACAGCGTCTTCGTCAGCACATAATAATAGTATGGTTAGCTGCTAAACAAAAATGCCGGTGACACCATCATAAATATGGCTTATAAGTAGGTCACCAACTTCTCGTTTTCATTTCTGCCAGATAGTATTTTTCAAACCAGAGGCGAATATTTTTATTTCATCGGCAAAAAAAAAAAAAAAAAAAAAAAAAAAAAAAAAAAAAAATATATATATATATATATATATATATATATATATATATATATATATATATATATATATATATATATATAAGAAAAATATTTCAGCTAATGTAAAGCTATTTAAAGTCGTAAACAATGATACTGATTATGATAGACTACAAGCGTCAGACTTGCTTATAGAAAAATATAGGCTACGTAAAATTGTTATTGTTTTAAAGAAGCGTACAGTTTGTTATTATTTATTCTAATCCGTAAAAACATCGTCCTATAAGTAGTTGCAATTTTAATATATTATTATTTATACCCTAGGGCTCCGGTTACATCATTAGATTAAATTATTAGTACATTTTTTTATAATTGATGCATTTTGGATAATATTGTTTTTTTTAAATCTTGAAACGGGGCCCAGAAACAAAAAAGCCGCCTTGTTTTTTTTTTGTTTTCAATGGATATAATGTTCTCAACAAATAATTTAGTTCGAAAATTTATCTCTGTCCCTGGGCTAACGTGGCTTCGAAATTTTAAGTGAGAGATAACGAGACTTAGACACTCTATTGTGTCATTTTTGTTTTTTAAAATTTTGTTTAGTCTTCTACCACACCGTAGTATGCTGATGAAGACCGTGGGTCGAAACGTCCACTGTAATTGTGACAGTCCTTAAATTTGTAAGGATAACTACACTGCCTGTATTTAATATTACTTTTTGCTTTAGACATCACTGCTGCTCAGTGGCGTAGGCAGGGGGGGTTAGGGGGGTCATAATCCCCCCCCATAGACCCCTCGGTATATATATATGTATATATATATATAAAGTATGAGGGGGGGGGGGTGCAAATCGAAAGTTTGAGGGGGGGGGGGGTGCAAATCGAAAGTTTGTCCCCGGGTAAAAATTGGAATCCCCCCCCCCTTGAGACGATCCTGGCTACGCCACTGCTGCTGCTACTAAATTCGTTTATTACAGAATCCGAGATACACAGTGTTGAGGCAAACGTTGCCATTCCCACAATCTCATTGAACCAGCTAAGGGAGTGTGGGGCCGATAAAAAAGTTTATGATGTAAGTTATTCATCTTTTCACCACAGAACAAAACAACTATTATTTTTCATTCTCTAATTTTACAATAATAAAAATGAGTTGTTAAAAGATATATTAAGAAAGATCTATAGATCAAATTTCAAAATATATAAGTAGTAATTTGTTTGGGGTTTTTAAGATTAGGCAAAAGAGTAGTTTTTTATAACTGAAAAAAGTACAAAGGGTATGGCGTGGTTGGACGGCAGAGCGTACGATTAGCAGCCCGAAAGTCTTGAGTACAAATCTCGCACTCGAGTCCTTTAGACCTCCTTACGTCCACCGAACTATAATGGGTACCTGACTGACGTTGGGGAAACAAAGGCGGCTGGGCATTATAGTGCTGACCATACTATCCCTATTATGACGATGTCATTCCTAATATGACGATGTAATTGAAACATGAACTCTACTCCATGTGTCCCACTGTCTTCGTCATGAAAGGGAAAAGATGAGTCGATCTCAGCAAAAAATAACTCGGCACCATAATATATCAGGATTTTAAAATATCAAAGTAAAATATTTTAAATCAAAGAAAATGTGCCAGTTACAAGACAATCCCCTTCATGTCTTGAAAACGTTTTGTTTCCTAGCTGAAGATCGAAATTCTGCAAGATGCAAATATCTCAGAGAGTGAGTTCGATCTCTACGCCCTGCAGTTGTGTGGTAAAGATGGCTCGACCCAAACACTCGACGATAACAAACTCGTCAGCAATTATGCTGCTGATCTTGCCGATCAATCAGAAATCCAACTAATTAGATTAAAAATAGACGAAAACACGAATTAACTGTCACTAATTTTACCTTTTATAAAAAAAAATAATTAATATATAGATATTGAAATACTTAGTCCTTTTTACAAGCTTTCATTTAGTTTTTTAATATATATATTATATATTATATATATATATTATATATATATATATATATATATTATATATATATATATATATATATATATATATATATATATATATATATATATATATATATATATATATACGTGACACATGTAAATACCAAAGTTTCTTCCAGGCTTCTCTTCGAGGGGGGAGGGGGGGGGGGAGGGGGGCCCGAACGAAGTTGAATTTATCTAGAAAATATAAGCTTTTAACAGTGTACAAACAATATTCACCCCTTTCACAACACTAGGGGACGGGGCAGGCTACTACGTACAAACAACAGCATTGACCCCATTGTGTTAAAGATCTCCCACTTTATACAGTGTTTCTTCCAGACTTTTTTCTCCGTGGGGGGGGGGGGGGCACTTGAAATTTTCGGGGGGGGGGGGGTGCGGTAGACTTTCTTTGGGGGGGGGGGGGGCGGATACTGTAAAAAGTATAAATTTTCTATATAAATTTCATTTCGTTCGGGGGGGGGGGGGCGGTAAAAATTTTTCGAAGAGATGCCTGGAAGAAACTCTGACTTTATAAGTTCAACTACACACTAATATAAATTTGTAAGAACTTGACATTTTAAAAATATTACGAGTCACTGTACCATGCTTGAAAATTTAAAATTGTAGTACTATATTATTGTTCTTTAAAATGTATATTTATTTTGCAGACAAGTTGGTTGTAAATTTTAACCATTACATTTGAAATAGTTGCATGCCGAGACAATGTCGAATTTACATCTATATTATATTCTACATGAATTGTTTTGTTAACATCACGGAGTCATCATTGAGAAAAATTCAAAATGAATAATGTTACACTGAGATTTTTGTCCAATCATGTTTAAAAACAAAAACTTTCCATCGCTTAACTTTGTTTTAATAAAAGTGCGAATTCTTAATTAGCAGCTTAATATTTTTCATGTTATCACATTTTAGTTGTAATTCTCCATTGAACAAAAGTTAATAAACAAAAAAATTGTAGTAGGTAAAGTATATTTGCACAATATGTATCAGTTACTGAAAATATTTAATAAACATTTTTCCCTCTGTAAAGTTTTTCACTTGGTGTCGCTCGCTCTCCCTCCCCCCAATGAGAGCTTTAAGCTGTACACAATAATAAAGATGTTTATCTATATTCGGTTCTAAAACAGCTGTATGTAGCATTGTTTTCTGTATTGTAAGCAAGTTTACATCTTGGTGTTACCATTACATTTGTTGGGATCGTCAATTTCTACTTTAAAAACTATATAAATTTTGAAGTGGCAAAAAAAAAAAGCATTTCTCTTCTGTAATTTATTTTTTAATTTTTCACCCCCATGAGCGTCATCAAACCCTCAATTTGAGTTGTACACCAAATAGTTAAGTGTTACTTTTATTAGGAAAGACTTAACCAGGGGTAATCTTAGTTTTCATTCCTTTTGAATTTGATTTTATTAAAGTTAAAAGCCTTACTGCTGATTACCACTTAAACCTGGTCTAGTATGCAGTGAGAGAGATTTATGTATTGGGTAAACGACCCATCCAGATGTAACTAATAAATGTATGCGTTGACTTAATTATTTTATGCATGTTAAATTGACTTAATTTATTGGAACTGACTTAAAAACCCAGCACATAGAAACTTTTTAAATTTTTGTATTTGTGCATAAACTATAAACACAACTGACTGCAAATAAAAAAAACATTTTCAAAGAAGGTGGTCTTTAAGATCTTTTGTTTATTTTCAATATTGTATAGCTGCAATGAGTATGTATAGTATAACCTAAAAAAACACATAACTTTAAACATACCATTATTAAGGCTTTACAAATTACATAAACAAAACAAACCTAAAAATTAAATGTACCAAAAAACTGTTAATAAAAACTAATTCTCAGATAAAGGATTATTTCAAAGTATACAATTCATTATGTTTTAAACAACCACAAAAACAAACTTCTACAAAGTGATAGAAAATTTACATATACAATGCAGCTCAAAATAGAGTACTGCATATAATATGTATATTTTACAAAAATAATTTGTTCAAGAAAAAGGGTATAGCAATTAAATATTTTTTTCAGATCTCTGTTATCTTTAAAAAGCAAATTTAAAGATATTACTTTGAACTAGATAAAAATTCTATTTTGAGAGTATTTGAGAATTAGAAAAGAAGAGAAACATTGTCTATAATGAAAAAACCTGCAAAAATAATCTACATTACCTGCCACACAACGAGGTTTGACTTTAATTATGCAGTAAATAACGTAAATATTGGAAAAAAAAATCATTCACTTGGTAAATATTAGTTACAGATATATGTCATAAAAAATGAACAGTAAGGTTAAGATCAACATCTCAACTCATTTAAAAAAAATATTTTATAAACAAAAATGTGAATCTCACGGTTTCACAGAATAGGAATGGCTTAAGCCAAACAAATTGAAACTATTTTCAAATGTGATCACACAATGATAAATTCTATTTCGATGTAGGTTGATAAAGAAACTAGCATAATCTTTCTATGCTTTTAACAATTAAATCATATTTTATTTAATTTGTAGCAAAAGAAACAAGTTCAAAATAAATTTGTCTATCAATAAGATTGTTTCTTTCATTGAATTTTATTCTACAGATACTATTATTTACAAATATATATATATATATATATATATATATATATATATATATATATATATATATATATATATATATATATATATGAATTTTTTTTATCGAGTAATGTACACAAAAAATTGCTCAATGTGAAAAATATACAAGTATAAAAAAATGGAATGTACAATGTAAAAAGGCAGCAGAAACATGCTAAACTGCTTACTATTTAGTGCACTTAGTAGTTAGACATTGGTTTAACGATCATGTGGTAGTCTGTACACAAAGTTTGATAAACAAACGTACACAATGGCAACAATTCCCACACTTACCACATGATGACTAACTCTATGACACTAGTTTGATGTAACTAATTTGACACTAATAGATATGCACTCAGCACCATAAAACATTTTCTAGTATGAAACTCCTTACATGACTTCTTAATTCTTCACTTTGATAAATCGTGCTAACTGTACATTTTGTGACAGCCTCATGTGAGACACACGCCAACTTAACCAGCACTACTATCACAACCACACACATTCATACACACACATACAAAACAAACCACTTAACCATGACATTATAACCTAAGAATACACTGAACTATGAGTAAGAAAAACAAAGAGCAGGTAACTCTCATTGAGCTTGATGGAGGCAGGGAAGGACAATTTGGACCTTGGCACTCAGTAGTTTCTGTTGACATCAAAATTAACACATTAAAGTAGACATTTAAATAAAATAATAACTAGTCTAACTAAGAGTAATATCCATACCTACAGGAAATGTTTGAACATATCAAATATTAATTTAAAAATATGTAAAAAAAAAAAGTAAAGTTTCCCTTTCAAACCTGACAGTCTATGGGGCAAGTGAAGTAGAGTTCACTTGTAACATTAAATTAAATCCCACTAGTAACTGATATTTGATCACATATGCACTACATTATCTAATTATCCTTCTGTCTGACTATAATAATAATAAAACTAGATTTATTCCCACAATGGCCTTTAGTAAACAAATCCATTTTTGAAGACAATAAAATATCATTTAAAATGTAGAACAAAGTAATACAAAAATATTTTAAAATTTGGGGTACACAATGAAAGAATTTTATGAACGAGAAACATTGCCAGGACTCAGTTTATTGAGATCATGAAATGATTAATAAACAGCTGTGTCATTTCTGAGGTAGTGTTTTCTTGTTAACAAATGTAGAGGCATACTATCATTAAGTCTGCTTGGGGTTGATCAACAATTTAAGCACACTATAAATATTTATACACATATGGAGTATCATTGCATGTAATTGCTAACATTGTGAGTATGTCACTTCTAGCACTTGAACCTAGCAGTGGCACCACTTGGGTTTATGATACCTAGTACAGGCCTGCTGTACATCTCAGATAATTTAAATTTTTGGAAATTTTTAAAAAAAAAATGTTCTTTTAAACTAACATTTTGCCTGATAAGGCCCATACCACATTTTACATGCTATAGCTATGGACCACATTCCCAATTTAAAAAAAAAAAAATCTTACCAAAGAGAACAATCTTCGACTCAGATCTCCCGAAATTGTTTTGTGCAATGCAGTAGTAATCAGTGTAGTCGTTAGCCTGGACGAATTTGACCTTGAGAGTGTACCACTGCTCCATGGCCTTGAGGTTCTGGTTGTCCCTGGTCTGTTTGTTGATGTCAAACTTATCATCATCAGTGATCCTCAAACGGCCCTGGGACACTACACGCTCCCATGTCACCGTGGGCTCAGGGTGTCCTAGAAACAGGGGAGACAATGTTTTAAAAATTTACTTTTTTATGCATACTACAAAACAGTAGATGGCTCTCCAAAAAAACAAAATTATCATTTTTTTTTCTCAGTTGTGACTAACAATTCCTACTATGTACACTTTGTAAGCTTACAACACTCAAGTATGTTTCAAGTCCTTTTTTGTTTAATTCAAAAAACTTTCTGAAAACTTTTAGTTTTATTGAACTAAACATGCAATAATTTGTATAACGTGATACAAAAATCTATAATAATAGTTTCGCTGTCTCTCTATCTATCTATCTATCTATCTATCTGTCTGACAAGAACGCTCTAGAGAAAAGACAAGCAATTTAAAAACATGCACAGTAATTCGAAAAACGAAGTATGACGTCGACACATTTAGCACAGAGTAGAAAATAATCTCAAACCCAGAGAGTGCTCACAGTTATATGACGTCATTGATTTTCGCGTAAACATTGAATTAAAAAGGAAATGTTGTCTAATCTTAATGGTTTGCGTGAAGAGTTTCTTGCATACAATTCTTCGGGTAGGGGCGAAGCCCCACCCCCCGCGTAAGAACGTCTGAGCCCCCCCCCCCCCTCCCCAACTCAAAAGAAATTTCTTCATCGATACTCTATAATAAAATTACCGCCTAATTAATGTGTCTAATCTAAAAAGTGGTTTTCTTGCAATTTCTTTAATGCAATTCTTCGGGTAGTGGCTAAGCGCGACACCAGTGTTTCTTTCAGACTTTTTCCTCCCCGGAGAGGGGTGGGGGTAATTGAAATTTTCGAGGGCGGGGTTAGAATTTTCGGGGAGGGGGGGCGGACACTGGAAAAAGTATATAATTATATTTCGTTGAATGGGACGGTAGACATGTTTTTTTTTGGGAGGGGTGGGGGGGGGGGGGGGGGGGGGGGGGGAGTGGGGGGGGGGGGGGGGGTGGGGGGGAGGTGTGAGTGGGGGGGGGGTGGGTGGGGCGGTGGTTTCCTCATCGATACTCTATAATAAAATTACCGCCTAATTAATGTGTCTAATCTAAAAAGTGGTTTTCTCGCAATTTCTTTAATGCAATTCTTCGCGTAGTGGCTAAGCGCGACACCAGTGTTTCTTTCAGACTTTTTCCTCCCCGGAGAGCGGTGGGGGTACTTGAAATTTTCGGGGGCGGGGGTAAAATTTTCGGGGAGGGGGCGGACACTGGAAAAAGTATATAATTATATTTCGTTGAATGGGACAGTAGACATGTTTTTTGGGGGGTGGGGGGTGTTGGGGGGTGGGGGTGGGTTGGTTTTAGTTTAGAGAAAAGAGACAGCACCATCAACCTAGCGCCCGGTGTATCCTTCCTCAACGGGCCATTTTTCTCGTAGATTAGTAGATTTCTAGACTATTCTCCCTGATAATAGGGGATAATTCTTTTTTATTTTTATCCTTTTAGTTTTGGAAACAGTAAGTTTTTTTTAAAAAAAAGCATTACAGGTTCATAGCCCTTCATTAAAGTAAATTGTATAACTTTGAAAAAATTAATTATAAATTAATATATAAATTAGATTAATCTCTAAAAATTAACCTGATTTGTCACATTCAAAAAAGCCTGTTGTTAAAACCACAGTGATAAAAAGAATGTTTTTAACACTGGTGTAAAGTAAACTCAAAATATTTTGTATTTAAGAGTGGTCAACTGACCTTGAACTATACAACTGACCTTGAACTATACACTCCAACTTGGCCCAAAACCTCCTGTTCTGCGCCTGGCCAACTGAGTCCTGCACGACCCTGGTCTTGGGGGCGTGGAAGACAAACACCTCCGCCAGGTGTTCAGCTGGGGGCTTGATGTTGTTGTCTGCTACACAGCGGTACACGCCCATGTGCTGGATGTCCACATTGGTCAAGGGCAGGCGGTCACTCTAAGGGGGGATATGATGTAATGTATTAAAATGTCAATCAAAATTTTACATGGGCAGTCTGTCACTTAATTGGGGGGGGGGGGGGGAGAGAATATGGTGTAATGTATTAAAATGTCAATCAAAATTTGGCATGGGCAGCCTGTCACTTTATTGGTGGGGGAGGGTGGGGATATGATGTAATGTATTAAAATGTCAATCAAAATTTGACATGGGCTACCTGTCACTTTATTGGTGGGGGAGGGTGGGGATATGATGTAATGTATTAAAATGTCAATCAAAATTTGACATGGGCTACCTGTCACTTTATGTGGGGGGGGGGGGGGGGTGTAATGTAATGGTATCAAATTTCATAAGAAAACGTTATGGACATGAAATGAATTGGAAATCAACATGGTTCAGAGGCAGAACATCACTCTATGGGAAATATGAAGTAATGTCATAAATTCTCAATGTAAAATTAATAAAATATCATGGACATGTAATAAAGTGGATATCACCATTGTTCAGTGGAAGATCATCACTCTATGGGAGATATGAGGTAATGTCATAAAACAAAATTTAAAAAAAATCATGAAGACATCTGCAAGTGGTAAACATTTTTTAGGGGAGAGGAAATATGATGTATTGCCTTGAAATGTCATTTAAAACAATCACTGACATGTATGTCTATAGTAGGTATCAAGTAATAAAAACAACAATCCAATACAATAAAACTAAATTGCAACAAAGACATAAAAAGTTAATACAGGTTTTCAATGCACTTTTTTACATTAATAAACTATGTAATGCCTTAAAATTAAGAATTGACTTTTTATGTTTATTCAATGTTAAAAAACTACATTTAAACTGAACTTACTCTGTACAGGGCAACAGGGTTGGGCAACACAGGTAGGAGGCCACCATCTGACCTTGTCCAGGTGATGTTAGGGTAGGGGATGCCTGTGGCATCACACCTGAGACTGGAGTTGTCACCTCGGTTCACCTGAAGCACAGCTGTCGTGAGACCTGTTTTTATGGTGGGGGCAACTGAAAGAGACAAAAATATTGAGTTGTTAAAGTGGAGTAAAGGTGTTGATAATATAAAAGTTCCTTTTCAACCCTGATGGTCTATAGGGCAAGTGAAGTAGAGTTCACTAGTTTCTGTGACCTCGGCATATGAAGAGATAGTGTGGTCAGCACTATGCCCAGCCACCTTTACTTTCCATAACATATTTTAGGTACCCATCAGAGTTGGGTGGACTCATGGACGGTCTACTGACTTAAACCCAGATTCGAACGCAAGACTTATGGGTTAGCAGGCCAGCTCTCTACCGCTAGACTACTCTGTCCCATTTTAAATAATATAAAAAAAAACAAATATTTATTCAGTTGTTATATTTAGATAATATAAAAACTGAATAATTGTTATTTTTTTTAAAGTTATCAAATGCTAAATTTTCTTTCGAATATCTATTTTAATTAAAGTAATATGGATATAAAAGCCTTCTGACACTTCTGTACAAAATAACATACAAGCCTTCTATACACAATGGCATCCAAGCCTTCGATATATAATGACCATCTGTACACTATAACATACAAGCTTTCTGTTCACAATGATATGTATGGCCCTTTCAAAATGACAAACAAGACTCCTGTACAATGACATACAAGCCTTCCATTCACATCACAATGACATACAAACAAGCATTCTGTACACAATGGCATAAATCCCTGTACACAATGGCATACAAACCTTATGACATAAAATGACATACAAGCCTTCTGTACACAATGACATCAAGCCCCATACACAAAATGACATACAAGCCTTCTATTCACAATCTCAATGACACACAAACCTTTAGTCGACTAACACACACAAACCTACCCTGAACCGTCACCGTCCCAATCTTGGTGGGCCACAGGTTGTTGGCCACTGATGCGATACGGACAGTGCACTTGTACTGGCCAGCGTCCTGCTGCTGCAGACGTCTGATGACCAGCATGTGGGTCACTCGGTCAACATTCCTCCTGGTCTGCACCTCGTACTTCCTCAGGCCACCAATGGCGGGGTTCAGCATCTCAATGGTCTCACCCACGGATATTGTCTGCCCATAATCCATTAGATACCACGTTACCTATTCAACACAACAGGAATACATAGATAGGTATACAAAAAACTGTGAAACAGATTGTGGAATATAATTGTGTATAAATTAAATTAATTAAATATTAGTTTTCAACTAAACAAATTTTTATTATTATAGTCAACAAAATTTTATACATTTTAACAAATCTACCAAAACACACAACACTGTAAAAATGATAATTTGTGGATTTGTTGAATGAAATTTTATAGGTAATGTTACAACTGTGTGACAGTGACAATATGCCACACATTTTAGACTAATTTTTTTGAGATATATTTTGTTTTGTGGGTTGTGAGAAATATTGTGGATTGTGGGTTATGAGAAATATTGTGGTTAGTGGGTTATGAGAAATATTGTGGTTAGTGGGTTGTGAGAAATATTGTGGTTAGTGACATGTTTGTGAAGTTGGAACTTTAAAAATTCAGTAAAAGGTTTTGGTGAATCTGTAACTTGACCATAAGTTTCATAAAATTTGTTTTAATTAAAGCATTCTAAAAAGTCTGTGTGCAAATTATTTCTTTTACTGCTACCAAACCCAAGAACTACAAAGGGCAGTCATTAGTAAGAAAAACCCATCAATAATAGGTTTACAGTATTGCAATCCTATCAGCTATTAAAATCAATAACTCCAGTGTTTACACAGACTAACAGTGTTTAAGAACTTCATGATAAGTACACTAAATTGTCATTTTAGCTTTTAAAGTTCTATAACTCCAGTGTTTAGACAGACTTACAGTGACCTATTACACAGACTTAAAGTGTTTAAAAACCTCATTGATACGTCTACTGTATTACCAATTAGCTATTAAAGTTCTATAACTCCAGTGTTTAAATAAAAACCTCAATAATAACTCTACTGTATTACCAATAAGCTATAAAAGTTCTATAACTCCCTGACTCCGACACTTACAGTGTTATCTCCCAAACGAGCCACAGTACAGTTGATACGAGCCGTCCGTCCTACAGGCTGTACCTCAGGCCAGATCTCATCGACAATTTCAGGTTTCTGTGCAGAAACTAAAACATAAGATATGGATTAGTTTATAGTATACAAATACTCCCCTAATGAATAGTACTTTATTGAAGATTTTTTTACTTCTTTGCTATATGTTACAAATAGAAAATTTCTAAGAAATATGTGACCAACAAAATGAATAATATAATAACAGTTTCAAATGTTAGATCTTTAGAATCTATGAATATTCCATTGGAAAGGCCTAGGCCTATTGATTATTACAGCCTGTAACTCCATAGTTAACAGGACATAAAATCCAGTTAAGATTCATATCTCGGCTGCACAAACAAAATAAATAAGTTAAATACAGTAATAAAAAAGTAATAACACACAGACTAACAAGTAACTAATACAATTGTATTGGACTAATCACCTAGTCTATTAAACATTAATAATTAAGTGACTTAGGCCTACACTTTCCTCATTTTCAGATGATTTTATACTACAACCCTTATAACATTTGTTTATATAATAGTCGATCTCCTTACCAAAACCGGAAGTCAGAACCTGACCCTGAAACGTCATGCTCTTTTAGTTTTCGCATTTTAAGTGTTTTTGGGGGGTCCTATATACAAAAAATGAAAAAACTGCTAATCTAGCAATATCTCATCACTATTTTAATGCGAAATGCTAAGGAAATGGATACTATGGCTTAAATGCCAGAAACATTTGCGAGATATGTAGTAATAATTAATACAAGCATTTCTTATGGAGCACTCTCATTAGGAACTGAACTGCAACGAAAAACGACCGACCTCCGGGCATCAGCGCTCGACAGCTCCTAGATAAATATATATTTGAGATATTTACCATGATTAATTACAATGATGCTGCTTCCCTTCTGCCAAAATCCAATTCCCCATAGAAATACCATGCCGCTGCTATTTTTAGCAACGTTACGCCATTGTTACGCTAGTTGTCAGATAGAAACAACTAATTTTTGTTTTTTGCGGAATGCACTGTTAAGTCTAGTATTTTAATTATAATTCAGTTTTAGCATGTGCAGAAATTGTGGGCATTATTATTGTATTAAAGTATTAGTAATTTTATAAGTATATTGATTTTTTTTTCTTCACTGCAAGCCAAGTAGGCCGACTGCACTGTTAGTTTCATTGAACATAATTCGTGACCGGTCATTAACCTTGTTAATATTAATACTTCGTGGCCTACCTGACTGTATAATTTATATGAAATTATATGTAGTTTTTAATTAGGCCTTAGTATTGTATTTTAAACAATGCTCATTCCGAGCCTTTTTGTGCTAGATCTAATTAGGCCTACTGGCAATTTTTTTTATTTTTAGACTTGGTCAACCTCGTTAATGCTGTTGTGTTAGTTAAAAATATAGGAATTGTGTGTAAAATTTACGCAGTTACTCAGTTACTACGTAGAATGATATCAATAAATGAAGTAGTAATTATTTCCTTTTAGTTTTAGAAATCTTTTGATACAAAATGTCTAATATTTTATTTTCCAATACATCGTGGTGTGTGGCAGAGTAAACAGAACGGTGCGGTAGGTGACCTAGAATCTCCGAGTTCGAATCCGACGTAAATCAGTTGTGCTTTATTTTATTGTTTCACATGGGAAATGCCACGAGCGGTTTTATTTTCTTTCTTTTTCAAAAAAAAATTTTTTGAACGAAATAATATTTAAAAAAATAATTATTCAAAATTTTCCAAACATCGTCGCTCGCATCGCTCACGAGATCGACTGCTTACATTTTCTTGTCTGCGGGAGAAAAATGTTGACACGGTCGAGGGTTCACCGTGAGTTCAGCAGGCCTACCATACATACGTCACAGCATTAACTATTGCTGTTAGAGATCGTCGGTGGGCAATCCCACCCCTCCCCTCATAAACCAAGCAAATTGTAAATCAACTTAGGGTCATTTTAAGTTCACGCAAGCTTACATGACTGTAGATTTACTACGCATAGCTGGTAAAAAAAAAAAAAAAAAAAAAAAAAAAAGAAAACTTCGCCTAACCTAATGCTACTACAGAAGAGAATACTAATTATAGAGTATTTAATTTGAAAGTTAAAAAAAAGTTCATTTATCATCTTACCTAATAATACTGTATTGTCGTTACAGTTAGAAGGACTAGATCTAGATTTCTGTCAGATCTATTTTTAGTTTTGGATATTAATTTTATTGTCATCTTCATGGGTATTGATTGTTCAATTCATCATGGAATGCCTAATGTCTTAAATTGTACATACAATTTATAATAAATATGTCTGATATTTCCTTAATAAACATAATGAATATAAAGTTTTATTTCTAACAAAATGTTTTGGTTTTTTTTGGTAACTAAAATGTTGTCGTAATTGCTATGACATCATGCTACGAATGGAAAACACAAACCAACGTAACTTTTTGATATCTTTTGATGGCGAAAAAGAGTTTCGCATTTTAAGATGTTAATAGGTCATTTTGTTTTTGTTTGTTTTCTCGGCCCCTAATTAAGCTAGACCATTAAATTTGGTCTCAAATTAACCAGTAAGTGATATGGTTTGTAATGATATATGATAAGTGACAGAAAATTTTAATTAAAAAATTGTAATAAGACAACCTATTATATAATAATAAAATAAATAATGCCAATGGCAGTGATGTGTCATGTGCAAGTACTTATTAAATTCAAATTAGTTGTGAATTACTAACAAAGAACCCCCCCCTGTCCTTCTAACACCATACAGGTCTAGAGTAGAGGTAGCAGATATCCTCTAGGCTCTAGAATCTAGATCTTTATACTTTATATCAACCGACATTCACAACAGAGTAACAGAGTAAATGAAAGCAAGTTACGGAAGTTGCGACTGTTTTTCAAGTTAATCACGAAGCGCCAGTATCTCACATGTTCCAAGTTATTTTAACGTAATCAACTGAAAGACAAAAACAAGAACCCACCGAGCGATTGTGTAGTCAAGAAAGCAAAAAGTACAGCAATACACAAGCTGTACATTTTGTTATTTGTCTTCTAAAACTTCATAAAAATCTCGTTAGAGTCTTCACTTTCGTCCTTAAAACCGGAAGCAGGAAGAAGAGTTGACAATCTCAGGTGCGCAGGCGACACAGGTAAAGCGACAAACGACAGGTACACAAGCTATCTGGCATGCGCAAAAAGGTCACTGTACATGGAGTAGCTGCCTAGACCCACAAGACATAAGAGCAAGTTGCATACATCGCGCCCACCAAAATGGGCCCTATACATTACTTTATATTTTTGGTCTGTTTCACAGCATTAAAAGGTACCACAATATATTTCCTTTATTGAGTCAAAGATCTATGAAAAACTTAGATGATCCTAGACCTCGAAGTAGGCTACGACTTGTGTGTTCGGTTGACTTCCGCATTTGAATTTTTCAGTCTTTTCTGAAGGGAATCGATAGATCTAGAAATCTAGATCTATATCTAAATCTAGAAATCTAGACTACTTAGGCCTACAGTAGAACTACATTATAGTATAGTCTTGATTCAACTGATCTTGTTTTTAATAATTCAAAGATCTAGTAATTAGACCTGAACATCATTATAAACAGAAATTCCGTTACCTTAATGTAATAGAAATCTAGTTGTAGATACAGGCAGGCCTTGGCCCCTTTCTTTAGACTTTAGCCTAGTCTAGTTAAATTGTTGATGTGACTTGGGACTAGTTTACTAAGTTAAGTTTCAAATGGTTTGATAAGTCTACCCCCCCCCCCCCCCCTGAGCAAAATGGAAATTTATATAACTTTTACTCAGTGTCTCATCACCCCCCCCCCCCCCCCCCACAGAGAACAGGTCTGGAAGAAACACTGGTAGTAAGAAGCATAACTACCTTACAGATATAATATTTATTAATAGACACCGTCTAGTACATTAGCTGCTGGACTACTAAACTAATGATAGATCTATTAAATAACAAGTACAATTATACTAGATCTATATGTATGTAACAATAGGCCTATTTTTAAAAAAATTGGTAGGTGACACAGGACCTACTGTCTGGATAATGTAGGCCTATAGATTGTCCAATAATAGACTCTTCCATCAAATAGGTGTATGGTGTGTTGGGTTGTTAGTAGTATTGCAATCTCAATAATTTTATGGTTAGAAATTAGGGTTAGGCGCATGATAGGACCAGGGTTGGGGTTAGGGTCAGGGTTAGCATTGACATTAGCCAGCCATGTGTGTATTTAGTTAACTAACAGTAACCTAATACCCCTTTTTTAAAGAAGATTCCACTATCAGTCATAAAATGATCTTAGTTTTTAAAAAAAAATGGCTTTCAGAAAGCTTAAGCAAATAATTGTTCTAAATGATACTAAATCAGTGTCTTCGGATTTCTTTACAAACAATAATCCTGTACATACTAACCTCTGCCGAGTTGTATTTACAATTATAATATTTTGTTGTTTTTACAATTATATTTTGTTGTATTTATACAATTATAATATTTTGTTGTATTTACAATTATAATATTTTGTTGTATTTACAATTATAATATTTTGTTGTATTTACAATTATAATATTTTGTTGTATTTACAATTATAATATTTTGTTGTATTTACAATTATAATATTTTGTTGTATTTACCATTATATTTTGTTGTATTTACAATTATAATATTTTGTTGTATTTACAATTATAATATTTTGTTGTATTTACAATTATAATATTTTGTTGTATTTACAATTATATTTTGTTGTATTTACAATTATAATATTTTGTTGTATTTATACAATTATAATATTTTGTTGTATTTACAATTATAATATTTTGTTGTATTTACAATTATAATATTTTGTTGTATTTACAATTATAATATTTTGTTGTATTTACAATTATAATATTTTGTTGTATTTACAATTATAATATTTTGTTGTATTTACAATTAAATTTTGTTGTATTTACAATTATAATATTTTGTTGTATTTACAATTATATTTTGTTGTATTTACAATTATATTTTGTTGTATTTACAATTATAATATTTTGTTGTATTTACAATTATAATATTTTGTTGTATTTACAATTGTAATGTTTACTTCCAGTATACGCTGATGACCCCAAGGTTTCCATATCTGAAACTGACCCACCCACCAATGCCATCTACAAGATGATCGTACAAGAGCAGGACAAGGACGTACAGATGAGCTGTGTGGTGGAGAACAAACCAGTTGATGTTGAGGTTTGTATGCATTATTGCAGTTGAGGTTTGTATGCATTATTGCAGTTGAGGTTTGTACACATTATTGTAGTTGAGGTTTGTACACATTATTGTAGTTGAGGTTTATACACATTATTGTAGTTGAGGTTTGTACACATTATTGTAGCTAAGGTGTGTAGGCATTATCGCAGTAAAGGTTTGTACACATTATTTTGGTTGAGGTTTATACACATTATTGAAGTTGAGGTTTGTACACATTATTGTAGCTAAGGTGTGTAGGCATTATCGCAGTAAAGGTTTGTACACATTATTTTGGTTGAGGTTTGTACACATTATTGTAGTTAAGTTGTGTAGGCTTTATCGCAGTAGAGGTTTGTACACATTATTGTAGTTTAGGTTTATACACATTGTAGTTGAGGTTTGTACACATTATTGTAGTTGAGGTTTGTACACATTATTGTAGTTGAGGTTTGTACACATTATTGTAGTTGAGGTTTGTACACATTATTGTAGTTGAGGTGTGTAGGCATTATCGCAGTAAAGATTTGTAAACATTATTGTGGTTGAGGTGTGTAGGCTTTATCGCAGTAGAGGTTTGTACTCATCACAGTAGAGGTTTGTACACATCACAGTTGAGGTTTGTACAAAAAATTGCAGTTGAGGTTTGTACAAACAGTCATAGTATTCAAACACACTAAGTTGATGTTGTAATTTGTGCAAATTATCTCAGCTGATGTTGAGGTTTCTACAAAAAAATCTGTCAAAACATTCACGACTTAGTCATACAAGATTCCATAGGTAGTCAAAGATATGTTTAAGGACTCCTTTATGAACTTGTGAATACAACTTTGTTGACTGTGTATAATGTAAAAAAAAATGCTTTGGAGTTGTTTACAATGACACATTTTGAGAAACTATCATATGTGCTAACATGATCTGTTGTATTCTACAGGTCCAATGGACCTACCAAACATACGGAGCCAATGCCACACTGATTCAAATAGCCACAGGGACCAGGTCTTACGATGCTTTTCGGTGGGCCCTTGATAAGCCCACGCCAACTGCCTGGCGTCTTCGTCTCCAGAACGCCCAGGTGACAGATGAGGGGCTGTACACCTGTAAGGTGCAGGTGGGGCAGAACAACTATGTTTGGGACCAGAAGGAACTCAAAGTAGTTAGTGAGTACACAGTTCTTCTGCTTTTTAAGTAGTTAGTGAGTGCACAGTGCATCATTTTTAGGTAGTTAGTGAGTACACAGTGCATCATTTTTAGGTAGTTAGTGAGTACACAGTGCATCATTTTTAGGTAGTTAGTGAGTACACAGTGCATCAATTTTAGGTAGTTAGTGAGTACACAGTTCTTCTGCTTTTTAAATAGTTAGTGAGTGCACAGTACAACTTATTTTTAGGTATTTAGTGCTCAGTATATCTTTTTTTAGGTAGCTGAGAACAAAGTTCTTCTGCATTGTAAGTTGTTAATTCAACACATCTCTATGTTAAATATTAAATCAATCAGGGCCGGCACTACCTATAAGGCGAACTAGGCGGTCGCCTGTGGCGTCATCCCTTGGGGGGCGCATAAATTTTTAATCGCTCTTATCAAAAAGTACCTAATAATTGATAACTTTTATAAAGGAGTAGCAATCTAATTTGGCACCAAGGACGAACTATCAATTCTGCCCCCCCCCCCCCCCCCCCACTCCAAAATTAGGTCTATATAGGCCTATATTTATGCACGATGGTGAAAATGCAACCCCACCTCCCTAATTTGGCGTTTTTTTACTAGTCACATTGGCTTTTTAATTTGGTGTCACATAATTGATGTTGAAGACGATTAAATAAGTTCGTAAATTAAATTTTGAACATTTCAAGCAGTTGTCCTATTGCACAAGTAAATGTAGATCATCAAAATTGGATAGAAGTATGTTATAATAAAGCTAGCATTTTTAGACTTTCAAACAAAACCTGCAGTTAAGTATTCAATAGGTAAAATGTATTTTTTCAAAAGGTTTCATAGCTAATATAAAAGATTTGTTATAATTATTATGTAATAAGCGTTTTATCATGTTTTTCAAGCATGTTTAGTTACACTTGGTTGATTTAGCTATTCTTGTAAAAGTTATTTCCCTTGAATGAAATTTTGGTATTTGGATTTTCAAATGGGAGATAATTCTTTGCTTAACTTTACATTCATTTCAAAATCCTGCAACTTAGGTTGACCGTTTACATTTAAATACAACTTTAAGTTATTATTTGCTATTTTAAAAATTATATAGAGCTTTAAGTTCTAAACAAAATAGTTAGGTAGGTTTCTTTTTTAGCATTATCAAGTTGACAAACAAATACATCGGTAGCTGTTATATATTGCAATGCTTAATGTTAGTGTACATGTAGTCTTAGTTGTAAAATAAACATTTAGTTTCTTTTCATATCTTTCATCCTCTCCTAACAATTTTAGGCTTTAGTCTATAACATTTATAACCTTTTATTTAAAAAAAAAAAAATCGTTACATAATCACATAATATAGACATTTTAAAATTATTACTAAAGACAGTCAAGCTTAAAATAGGTAAGTTTTGGAACTCACCTTGAGTGAACTGCATAGAGCCCAACGCTACAAGGACTTTTTTCCAGACTTTTTTCTCCCTGGAGAAGTGGGAGGGGGGGGGTGGCTGGGGCGATGCCGTAAAGTACAAAGTAGACTACTGGACTTAGCATTAATTTCAATAAAATGTGATTACGCTTGCAAACTGGAATTGAAGGAATTAATACAACCTTTTAAGCCTGAGGCAAGTAAAATTTGATTTTGATGTCTACTTATAACGTGTGTGCAATAGATAATAAATTAATGTCACTTTTAATTAATTGTTTTCTTGTACATATGTTTTAGTCATTAATTTGTGTGGAAGGGGGCGTTTAAACAATTTTTGCCGAGGGTGCTAAATAACCTAGCGCCAGCACTGAAATCAATACACATTTGTTTTAATTTTAGTAAGTAATATTTCTGCTTTTCTAGTAACTATTGAGCACACATTTCAGCTCCTATTTGTTGTTATTGGTTTAGAGTTTATATATTTGGAAACTGACAAACTTTTTATGCTTTGCTCCATGTAGTTTTAACCACACCAGTCCTTCATTATGATTTAATTTTAGCTTTAGTTAGTTTGAACTATTTATTGGTGTAAAATATCCTCTAAAACATTGTGGCCTTGTTTAAATGTATACAAAGGCAATGCAGTGGAGTTTCCATACAACTTGATTCTCCCCCCCCCCCCCCCCCTATTGGAATTAGGAAAAAAATGTCGTTGGTTCGTATATATGTCTAATAATTCAGAATAATTACAGTATAATTATTTCTGTCACAGAGAAGCCATTGATATCAGATCTGGATACCAGCAATGATATGACTAAGAATGAAGAGGACACGGCCAAGCTGGAGTGCTATGCCAATGGTATCCCTAAACCAATCATCAAGTGGAGGAGAATGGCTGGTGAGCTGTTACCCAACGGTGGAACAGAATTCCAGGTGAGATTATTTGTTTACCAGGTGCTACAGTCACTTGGAGGATGGCGTGTTTTGTTGGTAGAGCATATTACTGCTAACCTGAAAGTCTCCAGTTTGAATCTGGTTTCAAGTCTGTATAACATTACTGAGAGTCCACGCGGGGTACCTGACTCAGGTTAGGGAAAGTAAACTTGGCTGATCATAGTGCTGACCACTCTATTCTTCAAGACGCAGAGGTCACAGAAACAAGTGAACTCTACTTCACCTAGCATCAGGTTTGAAAGGAAACTTTACTTTTTACAGTCACTTTTGTATTTAAGAGTTCTATATCTGAGATTAAAGAGATATTCTAATGAAGACTGCAGGTAAAGTTAATCTGATTTGTCACCTCAGTGTATAAGAGGGCTTGTGTGACCAGCGTCATGCCCAGACATATTTCATTTACCCAGACTTGAATCAACTACTCATTAGGATGGGGTGGACTTAAGGCTTACGAGAACATTAAATGTCATAAAAGTAGTTTTTGTGTTGTCTGGTTATTTAAACCACCTTCTGTGGGCACTCCTGCTGGGGTACTTGCTGTCAACTGCAGCTCTACCTGAACTACCATCAGGTGTGGCGTATCTTGGTATTAAAAACAACTGGCCATGACACCAAGATTAGTCAAACCTAATATTAGTCTGTGGTTATATCTTGTTTACTGAAGCATAGTTGGTCCATTTTTCTCAATACAATGTATAAGTAAATTAACTATATGTATAAAATTTGTTTTATGTATATATGTAAATATACATATGTGCTTATTTTATCAGAGCATAAAGTTTTTTACTATTTACATCTCCAGGGCAACATATTGAGTATCACCAGGATTGAGGCTGACCACGCAGGTATCTACAGGTGTACAGCAGAGAATTCCGCAGGCATTGACTACAGGGAGATCAGGATATCTGTTAATTGTAGGTCACTTTGGTTTAACTGTATAGGGTAGTACCCTGAGTCAAATAGCTGTGATGAAGTTTAACATTTAAAAAAAATAATTTGGTCAGATGCTACTGCATAGTCAGAAAGGTGAGTTTATAACTCCAGAAGAACCAAGTTTGTTCTCTGGGCAGATTAGGCTCGTTAGATTGGATCATGATACCACAGGGGAGGAAATTCCAAATCAATGAACTGCTGGCTTGATGATTGTTCTTTGGTAATCAAAGGCTAAGGAAGCAAATCCAGAAAGAAAACAGGTTGCCCAATGGTTTATGGAAATTTTATGAAAGACAAGGAATTATTTGGAACAGCAGGGAATTTTTGGTAAAAAATTGGTACCCTGAAAGAAGAAATGCTACACCATCCAAGACCAAACCTACATGAGCATTGTAAATTGACAGACCAACCACAATTTTAAAACTTAGTACTACACATTGTTAAAAATCAATTTTTAGTGATGCAAGACTCAGTGGTAACTGGGTGTAGAAAGGGTTAATTAGATGAATTCATTCACATAAAATTTGATGACAGTTTTTGTGTTTTGTTTGTCTCTTGACAGATTCTTAGATTTTGACATCACTATTATAATAAAAATAATGATCGACCTTCACCTTTCCATTTCAATATATTTATACCTCTACTTTTCCACTCTTACCAATTAACTTTTATGCATACCATGCTTACTTAATAGCTTCATAATGTGAAGATACATTTTTATTTTATATTTCCAGTTGTTTACTTAAAAACTTCATAATGTGAAGATACATTTTTATATTTTTCCAGTTGTTTACTTAAAAACTTCATAATGTGAAGATACATTTTTATTTTATTTTTCCAGTTGTTTACTTAAAAACTTCATAATGTGAAGATACATTTTTTAAAATTTTTTCCAGTTGTTTACTTAAAAACTTCATAATGTGAAGATACATTTTTATTTTATTTTTCCAGTCCGTCCTGAAGTTGTTTCCGGCACTCCTGTAGCCAAGCAGGCCATTGGCTACACAAAGGAGTTGATCTGTGATATCAAGGGCTACCCCCCACCTAGCCCAGAGGGTATCAGTTGGTCTAAAGAGAACAGGCCTGTTTTGAATGGTGGCAGGTAAGTTCTAGATATCTTTCTAATGTTCTTTGCGTGGTAGTAAGCCACACCAATCAGCAACCCTTTCATCCATATCCAAGTCTATCTTAACATACTTAAGTAATCTAGCATTTCTCTGTAAAAGACAAGGTTGTGTCACAAATCAGTTTTAAAATAACTGATTTTACCAAACAGATACCAAAAAATAAACCTCCAAACTGAGTCAGTAGCATGAAAATATACCTTTTACATTGATACACTGTTGAAAGTAAACAAGATGAATGATCACAGTGTAAAGTTTTTTAAACTGTATGCATGTCATTGTATTCTGCATGGTAATATATTTTAAAAATTGTTTTCATTATAAAAACGTGTAAATCTGGAAATGCGTATAATAAAACAATCAACAGTCTAGGCTTAGTGTATAAAGAAAATGTGTAGTCTACTCTAAAACCACCCATTTTTATTTTGCTTCTATGTTGCTAACGAATGACTTTTCATTTCTGCATTTCTGTATTATAAATTCTTAGAAACTAACATTTTGTTTCATTTCATTTTAATTAAACTTTTTGAAAACTCTCCAAAAGATATGACATCCGCAACATCCCAGGGGCCTCTAACAGAATCACCAGTATCCTGGTCATCAAGAGTGTCCAGCAGTCGGACTACGGTCTGTACGTCTGTAAGGCTGAGAATGACAAGGGTTCCAGACAAGTTAGCATGGAATTACAAGGTCAGTCGCTGCTCTTTGATTAGTTCTACACCTGTCTTAATCAGAGTTTCTTCCAGGCATTGGAGCCCCCCCCCCCCCCCCCCCCTTCCCCCCAATCAAAGTCTACCCATCGCGGAGAAAAGAGCCTGCAAGAAACACTGGTCTTAATCAAGCTACTGCTACTTTCCTGAATATTATACTGTTGTCATCTTTGTGTTACGTCTGTCTTAAGTATGTTACTGCTACTTTCCCGATTATAATACTGTTGTCATCTTAGGGTTACGTTTGTCTTAAGCTTGATTACATAGACTTTTCAAGCCTATTTATGATATATGTTTTTACCTATCAACAGCCTCTAAAGAGCCAACGCCTACCAGAGGTGGATATTTCAGTGGTGGGTCCACCTTGTCCCTCAACATAGCCACAGTCTTGATGCTGATCACAGTTGTGTTGTTACATCATGTACAGCTGCTAAGATAAACATTATCCTCATTTGATTCTTCATATTTTTAAAGTTCAGGGCAAAAATTTTCTGAATTCTGGCTAGCTTATTGTTTTGCCAGATACAACCAGAACCTTTCAGGACTAAACTAAATTGTTAAATTTTTCAGATTAATTTATTTAAAAATGGATTTTATTTTATTAAAACTAGCCTCGCCGTAAATCTTACCGGGATTTTCTACATATTTTAGATTTAAATATTTTAAAATCTTAATGGGATTTTCTACATATATTTTAGCTCAATTTTGACACAATTTAAACACTGTTTACTGATAGAAAAGAATCGATAGCTCTTTCTTTCATTATAACTACCTTATTCTATACATTCCATTTGTACATAACATGTTGATCTGATAGTATCATTTGTACATTTTTCATTAAAGTTTCTTTTCTAAAGTTATGCACATATTTTTAAGCCTTAGGACAGTTACCATTTTGCAGCAATGATTTTGTACATTTTCCTATAACTTTATGTAAGTGGCATAATGGTTTGTCTTGATGAATGCGGTATAAATGTTTAAAAAATAGTCACCCTCAAATTAAAAGGTTCTGTTTACTTTGTTTTATATAGACTAATAAGATCTTTTAATTCTAGGGTGAGGTCATGTCTACATATATTTAATATACACATCATATTTTACTGAATTATTGTCCTTTGTTGATAATTCATTCCAATCCATTTTTAAAAAAAAACAAAGAAGTTCCTCGTGGTGAATTTAGTAGATTTAATATATTAGCCATGATTATAGTATTGTTGAGATTATAAATGAGTTCATTCCAGTATACAACTGTATAGCCAGATCATATCATACATGTTAAGCAATAGTGGACAGTAAGTGCACTGACCCTTTGGATGCTGCAGCTATAGAGGACTGCCATTTGGGGCAGTGTGTTCAGTACATGCCAGTTGGAAAGAATAAAGAATGAGTTAACCTTTGACCTCACTAGTGGTTCAATAAGTTTTTACTGTACATAAAATCTTGTAATGGCTGAATGATTTATTTTTACAACCTAATGATGTATACAGTTTTTTAAATAAAGGTTTACTTAATTAATTACTTGACTTGTGTTGTTTTACTATTAGTGGAGGAGTTGGATATTGATCCCACTTAATTGATTATTTCTATACAGTGGTTGACTTTGGAAAAGTTTTATTCAAAGGAGCTGTTGGAAACTAAAAAATGTTACTGGCACTATTATAGTTCTATTAGTAAACCTATATTTTTCTGTGTTTCTTCTTCATTCTTAATTTTAGTGTTGAAAGAGATCCTCTTCCAGCCTGCTTTTCTTATTTAGATTCGCTTCCATGGCCTTTGTCCAACCAAGAACAAACTACAATGCAGCAGTTGTCCGCAGTTGTTTGATTTTGGAGTTGTCTCTCCTAGAAGAGTGGCTGTCCCTAGCTAACGAGCTTCATCTGCCCGAGGGTTCGAACTCGAAACTTTTTGGTTTAGCATCCATGAGCTTTACCGACTCGACCCCTTTTCTGTGTTTGATTTGATGTTGATTTGCGATGAAGAAGAGATCAAATAAGTTTGGTTTCTGCACAAAACTCTCTTGAGGTAAACAAAAAATTAACTTACAGGCACTTTTAGTCTTGGCCTGAAACAGGTATTTAATATAGCTGAGTAAGCTCAGGAATATCCTATAAACAGGTTATAGCCGAGTGCCTGAACTCAAGAACTTCATAACTGACCAATCTATAGCTCAACACCGCCATACAACAACAATTATGTTTCAATGTTTTTTACCACATGCCCCATTGAGTCAGGCTTAAGCCGGCTTTTTTTTCTGGATTTATTTTTGAAGTCTTTGTACACCCAAGAACAATCTGCAAAGTAGCAGTTGTTAGATTTTGGAGTTTTCTCTCCTAGATTGGTTCCTGTCCCCAGCTTCATCATGTATGTGTCAGCTCTGGACAATTAGCTACTATGAGCTATCCCTCTCTTTGCCTATTGATGCTCGACTTATCACTGTTTTTTAATGACAAAGATGTTTATTAAGGCTTCATAGTTTATAGCAATTATTAACAATTTCATTAAAATAAAAAAAAGAAAGTTAAAGCAATTTGTAGCTTGGGTTTAAAAAATTGTATTATCAAGAATTATGATGGCATAAAAAAAAATACACTAAGCACAATGTACAAGTGGTATCGCAGCTAACTCAGGAAACTCAGCGAGTGCCTCTCAATACAGAACAAGCTGTGATAGAAATAATATACAGCACTTTTTTGTTTAATTACAATTTTTTATCAAAGGTACTTTAATATTCAGGTTAAAAATTATTTCAAAACTTTTCCAGCATTTAAAATCCTTAAAATTTGAATAAAACAACGTTAAAATATCTACACTATATTTAAAATGTTAATCTAAACTTTCAACAATGCATTTATTTTCCCTATATTTTAATTTAACCACCCTATTACTTACGTATAACCTTCATAAGGGAAATAACCTTTTTGAAATACAAAGGGGGAATATCAAGTCTATGGAGAGTTATATTATAAGGAGAAAATTGGAGAACTCTAGAGGATAAAAAGTAATTTTAGAACAAATACTGGCCGCCTTGAAAGAAAAGTCACCCACAAATTGGCTGGATCTTAAGGTTAGAGTCAATTTTCATGTAAAAAAAATAATTAAAAATGAGTGAACAGAATATTTGGCTATCTTCACCCTAACTGGTCACTAATTACTTTTGGCGCTGTGTTGGAAATTTTTTCCTACACACAAAAATTCAACTAGAATGTGTACCTTATGCTCCATTTACACGGGAAATACAAAACTTGTTAGTAAAAATTATTATTTTTTTCTCACAAGGTTTTTTTGTCTCTTGAATATAAGAGATTTACGAAAAGTTTTATCTATTTACAATGTTGAGTTGCACGCCCAGCTTTTCTGGGATACACACAAAACAGAGAAAACTACAGAACTTACTCTTACATAACTCACGGTAACAAATATTAAAGCAAAACATTTTAAATGTGGGCTCAAGAAAAAAGTATCAAGTTTTCTAAGGATTAGGATAATTTGCGAAAATGGGGACAATTAAAACTAACTAATTTAATGCAGAAAAATAAAAAAAAAGAAGGCTCTGGATATTTAAAATTCCATTTTGGATAAAACCAATAACACTGAAAATCAATAGTTGAAGAAATATAATTAATCTGATTTATTCCAGTGCTTTAATGAATATCTCAGCTGAACATAGGAACAAAAATACAAGGACCACAACTCTTCAGTGACAAGGACCATAACTCTACCAACATGATTAAAATTGCTATTTATCACCACATAAATATTGTATTAAAATAAGAAGCACAAAAAGATATTCATCTAGAAAACAATGCAATAAATTTACTTCAGTGTTTGTCACAAGTTTCACAACTTTACATATATAAGATTTTACAAAACCAGTGGTCAGCAATGATCTGAAACATCTTTCGTGTTATTTGATCAACTAAAAATAAAATTAACAATGTAGATTCCTAAGTGTTCTTTAGCAAATACATTTTATTTTTAAAAGATGCTGACTTAGTTTCTGGCTACGTTTTCAAGAACCTAAGTTATTTTTTTATAATGCTTACATTAATATATTAATACTCAGTTACAACTATATGGTTGTATACAGTGTCATGCAGTTATAAATATTTCATGCATCATCTATTTAAAAAACTTTCATCTTCTCTGCGATACAGACAATGATCAAGGTGTCAACATAATACAGATTCTATCCTTTTTAACTTACAATCAAGATGGATCAAATTAATTATCTACAATAGATATTGTTTTCTCACACCAGATGTTCAGCAGATGTTAAAAGATGAGACAGGATTTCATAATCTCCGTTGCTTAACAGAAAAGTCCAGCATAAGACTGGCCTGTATTCATTCCAACTTGTTGACCAAAGTTGAACACTATTTCCTACACACCAGCAAACTAAATTATCATTAAAAAAATATATATCACACGAGAAAGGCTGACATACAGCCAACACAGATCTAAGCACCTTGTTACTTAACCATTTCACCCAACTAGACAAGACCAAAATCTCACAATTGCTTTGGCATATTAGTTTATAATTAACATAATTACTTCTCAATATGTCATTAGTCTTTAATTTTAATTTATTAAGTCCGATAAATCAATTTTCTCTTCTTTCTTGCTTATGGAAACCAGACTATTTTAAAATAAGTTATTACAAAAGATTTACAAGATGATTAGAGTAGCCTCCCCTATGTACAGTTTTTTAAAAACCTGGGTTAAAAGAAAAGAAGCAAGAAAGCAGAGATGAATTTTTTCACAAGCTGTGAGTGGAAGTTGGGTGAACTGAATGACAGGACTATTGACCAGCAGAACAAAGCAACATATAAAAGGACAATGTTGATTGGCTTATCTATCTACACACTAAAGTACACAGGCTTCATATAAATAAACTGGTAGAAACTGAAAATTTCGCGATAAAATATTCGTTTTAAAAAATTGACTACGTGTGGTTTGTTTAGTTTCTTTATGATGTGTCTTCCTTTCCAACTCGCTTTTTCCTCACTGAAAAAAAAAATCAAATATAATCATCTGAATATAGTAAGTAATGAAATAAATTAAACAATTGAGGCTTGTTATGTTAAATTCGACATTTCCCCAATAAATACACATTGCTGCATTAAAAATTTGCCGACTTTTAATTGAGAGCTTCTTTTAATTTCAAACTTTTACAATAAACAAGCATTTTTCTACCTTTCACCTAAATGTCTCTAATTAAAAAACCCAGTATGCCGACATAGTTAGAAAAAGTAAAGGCAGAAGTCTATAGTGCTCATCACACTATCCCTTTCATATCCCGAATTCACAGAAACAGGTGAACTCGAAAACAATAACCCTTCATACGTCAAGGTCAGAGAAGCAGGTGAACTCTACTTCACCTGCCCTATGGACTTTATGAAAGAGAACTTTACTTACAGGCGTCAAGGTTCTCTTTAAGCTTGTCATGGACCTTGATCCTGGCAGCAGGGAACTCAAACTGAAGGCCCAGACGCAGCAACCGACTGTTTTCTTTCAACAGTTTGGCTATTTCCATCTCCACCTTGTTACCAAGTACCTCTGGTTTCTGGGGGCAGCACGTAAATTAATTTCAGAACAAATTTATGTTATAGAAAGAGAAAAAATTCAACTTTTTTAAAATCTGTATATATAATTCTCTACTCCGCCAAACCATGTGGGACACCACCCACTCCCTAACCCTCCTCCCACCCCCTCCCTAGCTCTCCAGGCATGTGCAACAGTGTACCCACCCACCCCATTTGGACAACTGTGTCTTTCAGGAAGTCTTATTTTTCACTAAATATGCTACGCAGCGGGTCGGCTTATATTATATATTGATTATCCCTAACTCACGTTAGAGAAAACAAAGGCAGCTGAGCATAGTGCTGTCCACACTATCCCTTCATATGAAATCTACCTTATCTGCCCCATGTGTCTTGGGCACAAACAGGAAAAGATGATGATCCCTTCATAAACAGATGAACTCTACTTCATCTGCCCTACTGACTATTAGGTCAGAAATGGTAAGTTAACAATATTTTCTGTGCTACATTTTGGTAAAATAAACATATTGTTTATTTTGAATATGATTGTTTGGGTAAACTGCTATAAACTAAAGAGTGTGAACCGCTACTTGTGCCAATGGTGTGACCTACATATGGGGTGACCTACTTGTACTAGTGATATGACCTACTAGTGATGCAGTGAGATCTACTTATGCTGTGTGATGTGACCTACTTGTGTTAGTGATGTGACCTACTTGTGTTAGTTATGTGACCTACTTGTGTTAGTGATGTGACCTACTTGTGTTAGTGATGTGACCTACTTGTGTTAGTGGTATGACCTGCTGGTGTTATGACCTACTTGTGCTAGCTGTGTGTCCAACTTGTTAGTGATGTGACCTACTTGTGCTAGTGATGTGACCTACTTGATTAGCTAGCCTGAGCTCAATGAGAGACTGTGTCTTGTTAGCTGCCTTGATGAGTTCAACGATTGCATCCCCTGAGATGTGACCTGCTAGTTGTGTGACCTACTTGTGCTGGCTGTGTGACCAACTTGTGCAGTGTGGTGACCTAGTTGTGTTAGTGGTATGACCTACTTGTGCTAGCTGTGTGTCCTACTTATTAGTGATGTGACCTACTTGTGCTAGTGATGTGACCTACTTGTGCTTGTGATGTCACCTACTTGATTAGCTAGCCTGAGCTCAATGAGAGACTGTGTTTTGTTAGTGTGACCTACTTGTGTTAGTGATGTGACCTACTTGTGCTAGTGATGTGACCTACTGATGCTAGTGATGTGACCTACTTGATTAGCTAGCCTGAGCTCAATGAGAGACTGTGTCTTGTTAGCTGCCTTGATGAGTTCAACGATTGCCTCCCCTGAGATGAAGTTGGACTCCACATTGACGGACATGAGAGTGCTGTTCTCACTCAGGCTGCTAGCTAGGGCCTGCCAATGGAGGTTACGGCAAACATGGGTTTGTGTCACATGGTTTCATTGACTTTATGTCACATGATTTTTTCAAACATGGCTTTGTAGCACATGATTTCATCATATCTGCTTAAGTAACTTCATTTCATCACATTTTATGACACATCATTTCATTGAGAATTGTTCTATGACATAACTCCTTCGAAAATAGGACTTACCAATCATAATTTTCTAAAAAAAAATTGTTAAGTAAAATTATTTTATAAAACAAATTAAAATTGTTTTTAAAGAAATAAGCTTTCTAAAAAGTGAGTTATTAAAAAAAGGTATTGTGAAAATAGATTTGTCAAAAATGGTTGATAAGAATGAAACTTTTCACTCAGAAAAAAAATGCATTGAATTTTTTAATAACAAAGTACTTGTCAATGTAAAATAAAGGATTTTTTTTGACAATACTAATGTAACATCCTTAATAAAATATGTTGGGTTAAACATAGCCTGTTATCTAAATATATGTGTACAGCAAGCCAACTAATGCAATTAATAAATTAATTTTTGTAACAATTATAAATTACTTTTATTTTGAAAAATGATATAAAAACTCACCTTGGCAATTCTGTCATTAGCTCCCACACTAGCCATGTCAAAACGTACACAGACTGTGTTTTCTTTCAAAGCTTCACACACCTCAATCAGACGTTCTATAGAAATATTCTGTAAATAAAACAATAAATATAACTATTTAACAATAAATATAACAGGTGTTTTGAGTTTTTAAACAGAATAAATTTTTTTCACTAGTAAGACAAAACTTTTCGATCTAGTTTATAAAAACCAAGAGTGGATTTTATTTTTAGAGAAAAAAATATTACAACCCAAAAATTTCAGGTTTCGTTGATTAATTTTACTCACTTCAGATTTACGTGAGTAAAGAAAAAGTGTCTGGGCATAGTGCAAACAACACTATCCCTTAACAGGCAGGTCTGAGAAACAGATGAACTCTACTTCATCTAAACTGAGGAGTGTTTGGTTAGAGGGGATATTTCCTTATACAATTCCAGGCTTAAAATTAGCTTAACTGATGCTCACCTTGATGTTATTTAGGTTAAGTGTTTTTAATTCTTTGTCGTTATCCTTGAGCTTTTTGATGCTCTCCTCAACATCTGTCATGTTGGGGGCCTCGTCTGGGATTAACTTGAGTTTCTGAGCTTGAGCACACCCTGTATGAAAAATAATTTAGATTTACAACATTTTAAAATATATTTTAGATTTACAACATTTTAAAATAAATCTTAGATTTACAACATTTTAAAATAAATCTTAGACTTACAACATTTTAATATAAATCTTAGACTTACATTTTAAAATAAATTTTAGAGCTAAAACATTTTAAAATAAACTTTCTGTTTAATAAATTTTAATCGTCATTTTTAAGAGAAACTGAAAGCGGTTTTAAATGAAACAGACAATGGTTAATCTTATCTGTTAATTTGTTCTATTGCACATCAAACAGTGGAATAGAAGGTTATATAATTGCTTCTTTTACTGTGGCATATTATTAATTGTGTGAGAAGTAAAGTTGAAAGCATAAAGCCCTTCACAGATAAGTGGACACAACTGAACTACAGACACACTGACTCAATGTCAGCAATCCAAATTCAGTACTTTGTTTTTATTGGTAAACTTGACCACTATTATTTGGCATCATCAAATTATAAAATTTTACAACACTATATAATTTTAAAAAGCCACTACTTTGTGACATAAAGTCAATAGTTTATGATAAAAATACCTATAAAAAACACCAGTTTACAGCAAAACTAATCATTAAAAAAAGCTACTGTTATGACAAAGGTTCCCTGTAAAAAAGCAACAAACGTATGGCAAAGATTACCCACCAGTAAAGCCACCCTCGTGGATCTCTCGGTCCTCCAGCGAAGCGTAATACTGTGTCTGTGTCAGCATACTGTGGAAACCCAATACGGCTGGAAGGACATACAGATATATGGTTAGATCATGGTCAAATTATGGCTTAGGCAATACGGCTGGAAGGACATACAAATATGTGGTAAGATCATGGTCAAATTATGGCTTACAGAACAAGAATTCCATACATCATTATTTTTAATCTGAAAATACTCCACTGTATAACAATGCAAACAGTCGGATAAATTAAATATTTTAAGTTATGTTTAAAAAAAAATAAACTTCTCTAAAAATAAACAGAATAATAATATACATTTCAATTTTTACATGCTAGTTGCAGTTGCTCATGTATACTATGTATAATGGATAACACAAAGACTAAAAAAAATCAGTTAATATAAAATTGTGAAAATCAAACCAACCTGCCAAATCCACCAACTCCTCTTCACTGGCAGCTTGCAAAATTTGATCCCACTCTGTCTCTACAGCAGCATCATCATCATTGATAGTTGTCTTGGCTTGTTCTTTTGGCACAAACTTCTTCCCTGAAGCAGAAAACAAGAAACATCAATGCAGACTTTTCAAAAGTAATATTATAATCCTAAGTGTCCTTCAACATGGCAGTTAATTTTGAAAAGTAACCACAGATATCATCTCATCACTAGATTCTTTCCAAACTAAATGCCTGTGAAGGATAAAAGATTTCCTGTGTAGGCCTCATGTGTCCTGGGCACAGAAGGGAAAAGATGACAACAGTCGCAAACTGTAAAAATGGTGCACACAGCAGGCCATAAGAAACAGGAGGGAAAAGATGACAACAGTAGCAAACTGTAAAATTGGTGCACACAACAGGCCATAAGAAACAGAAGGGAAAAGATGACACAGTCGCAAACTGTAAAAATGGTGCACACAGCAGGCCATGAAAAACAAACTTCCTAAAAAAGCAAATAGCGTCAATAAAAGAATTAAATTTCATGTATTTAATTTTTTCACATTTTGTTGTGGGTTGGCGTAGTCAAATGGTCCAGAGTTTGGATCTCTGTTCGGACATGTGACTGTATGACGTCTCTGAGTCCACCAGGTATTGATGGGATACCTGATTTACATTGGAGAAAATATGGGCGGCTGGGCTTATGCCTTCATATGATGAGGCCAAGAGAGATATGAACACTATTTCATCAGCATGTGCTACAAAGAAATAAAGCTTTCACCAGTTGTTACTCTCTATAATTACCTTTAACTTCTTTAGTAAACGGCACGTTATTCTCCCAATCTTTCTCTTGCTTGGCTTTTTCTTCCAGGAAGTGTAGCAGTTTCTGGCGATTAAATGGGCCTGTAGCTGACTTAGAGGTCTGGTCTCGACACCTTTGGGAGGGAGGTAGCAGGGAGTTCTGGGGAGATGAAAAAATAAGTTTATCTTTGGGAGGGAGGAAGCAGGGAGTTCTGGGGAGATGAAAAAATAAGTTTATCTTTGGGAGGGAGGAAGCAGGGAGTTCTGGGGAGATGAAAAAATAAGTTTATCTTTGGGAGGGAGGCAGCAGGGAGTTCTGGGGAGAGATGAAAAAAGAACTTTATCTTTGGGAGGGAGGCAGCAGGGAGTTCTGGGGAGATGAAAAAATAAGTTTATCTTTGGGAGGGAGGCAGCAGGGAGTTCTGGGGAGAGATGAAAAAAGAACTTTATCTTTGGGAGGGAGGCAGCAGGGAGTTCTGGGGAGATGAAAAAATAAGTTTATCTTTGGGAGGGAGGTAGCAGGGAGTTCTGGGGAGATGAAAAAATAAGTTTATCTTTGGGAGGGAGGCAGCAGGGAGTTCTGGGGAGATGAAAAAATAAATATATCTTTGGGAGGGAGGTAGCAGGGAGTTCTGGGGAGATGAAAAAATAAGTTTATCTTTGGGAGGGAGGCAGCAGGGAGTTCTGGGGAGATGAAAAAATAAATATATCTTTGGGAGGGAGGTAGCAGGGAGTTCTGGGGAGATGAAAAAAATAAATATATCTTTGGGAGGGAGGCAGCAGGGAGTTCTGGGGAGATGAAAAAATAAGTTTATCTTTGGGAGGGAGGTAGCAGGGAGTTCTGGGGAGATGAAAAAATAAGTTTATCTTTGGGAGGGAGGCAGCAGGGAGTTCTGGGGAGATGAAAAAATAAATATATCTTTGGGAGGGAGGTAGCAGGGAGTTCTGGGGAGATGAAAAAAATAAATATATCTTTGGGAGGGAGGCAGCAGGGAGTTCTGGGGAGATGAAAAAATAAGTTTATCTTTGGGAGGGAGGTAGCAGGGAGTTCTGGGGAGATGAAAAAATAAGTTTATCTTTGGGAGGGAGGTAGCAGGGAGTTCTGGGGAGATGAAAAAATAAGTTTATCTTTGGGAGGGAGGCAGCAGGGAGTTCTGGGGAGATGAAAAAATAAGTTTATCTTTGGGAGGGAGGCAGCAGGGAGTTCTGGGGAGATGAAAAAATAAATATATCTTTGGGAGGGAGGTAGCAGGGAGTTCTGGGGAGATGAAAAAAATAAATATATCTTTGGGAGGGAGGCAGCAGGGAGTTCTGGGGAGATGAAAAAATAAGTTTATCTTTGGGAGGGAGGTAGCAGGGAGTTCTGGGGAGATGAAAAAATAAGTTTATCTTTGGGAGGGAGGTAGCAGGGAGTTCTGGGGAGATGAAAAAATAAGTTTATCTTTGGGAGGGAGGTAGCAGGGAGTTCTGGGGAGATGAAAAAATAAGTTTATCTTTGGGAGGGAGGTAGCAGGGAGTTCTGGGGAGATGAAAAAATAAGTTTATCTTTGGGAGGGAGGCAGCAGGGAGTTCTGGGGAGATGAAAAAATAAATATATCTTTGGGAGGGAGGTAGCAGGGAGTTCTGGGAAGATGAAAAAATAAATATATCTTTGGGAGGGAGGTAGCAGGGAGTTCTGGGAAGATGAAAAAATAAATATATCTTTGGGAGGGAGGTAGCAGGGAGTTCTGGGGAGATGAAAAAATAAATATATCTTTGGGAGGGAGGTAGCAGGGAGTTCTGGGAAGATGAAAAAATAAATATATCTTTGGGAGGGAGGCAGCAGGGAGTTCTGGGGAGATGAAAAAAATAAATATATCTTTGGGAGGGAGGTAGCAGGGAGTTCTGGGGAGATGAAAAAATAAGTTTATCTTTGGGAGGGAGGTAGCAGGGAGTTCTGGGGAGATGAAAAAATAAGTTTATCTTTGGGAGGGAGGCAGCAGGGAGTTCTGGGGAGATGAAAAAATAAATATATCTTTGGGAGGGAGGTAGCAGGGAGTTCTGGGAAGATGAAAAAATAAATATATCTTTGGGAGGGAGGTAGCAGGGAGTTCTGGGAAGATGAAAAAATAAATATATCTTTGGGAGGGAGGTAGCAGGGAGTTCTGGGGAGATGAAAAAATAAATATATCTTTGGGAGGGAGGTAGCAGGGAGTTCTGGGAAGATGAAAAAATAAATATATCTTTGGGAGGGAGGCAGCAGGGAGTTCTGGGGAGATGAAAAAATAAATATATCTTTGGGAGGGAGGTAGCAGGGAGTTCTGGGGAGATGAAAAAATAAATATATCTTAGGGAGGGAGGTAGCAGGGAGTTCTGGGGAGATGAAAAAATAAATATATCTTTGGGAGGGAGGAAGCAGGGAGTTCTGGGGAGATGAAAAAATAAGTTTATCTTTGGGAGGGAGGCAGCAGGGAGTTCTGGGGAGATGAAAAAATAAATATATCTTTGGGAGGGAGGTAGCAGGGAGTTCTGGGGAGATGAAAAAATAAATATATCTTTGGGAGGGAGGAAGCAGGGAGTTCTGGGGAGATGAAAAAATAAGTTTATCTTTGGGAGGGAGGCAGCAGGGAGTTCTGGGAAGATGAAAAAATAAATATATCTTTGGGAGGGAGGTAGCAGGGAGTTCTGGGGAGATGAAAAAATAAATATATCTTTGGGAGGGAGGTAGCAGGGAGTTCTGGGGAGATGAAAAAATAAATATATCTTTGGGAGGGAGGAAGCAGGGAGTTCTGGGGAGATGAAAAAATAAATATATCTTTGGGAGGGAGGTAGCAGGGAGTTCTGGGGAGATGAAAAAATAAATATATCTTTGGGAGGGAGGTAGCAGGGAGTTCTGGGGAGATGAAAAAATAAATATATCTTTGGGAGGGAGGAAGCAGGGAGTTCTGGGGAGATGAAAAAATAAGTTTATCTTTGGGAGGGAGGCAGCAGGGAGTTCTGGGAAGATGAAAAAATAAATATAAATTGATTTTTAAAATAAAATTTGCCTCAATTACTAAAACAGAAAAATCATATTTTAACTAAAATTTGTTTATGTCTGTATGCTTAAGCTATTAGTATAAAAACATTCTAAATCAAGTTATACATAACATAACCACAGAAACTGTATGAAGCCTAGAAAAATGGCAAGTATTAGTAACCTTTTTGATGAAAAACAGGAGTAAGAGATTTCTCCCCTCTCATCCCCCTCAACAAATTACCTCTCCCTCCCTGCACAAAAGATTGCAGTAGAACATTATCCTTTCATTACAAAGAGACACTTAACCTAACTGCCCTAATCCTATCATCTATATATATAATTCTCTTCTTAGAGACGCTAGAAAACACCAGGCTGTAAGCGCGCTCCCTACCACCTCATTCCTACATGGTCTGGTGAGCTGTGGTTCACGCTAAATGTTTACAATTGTAGAGCCGGGTTTAGTGACAGCTATTAGGGGCAGATAATTTAGTTTGAAACGATTTTAAACAGGGGAGGTAACTAAGAGGAAGCTGCTTTCATGGGGGGTGGGGGAAGGGGGGGGGTGTAGGGTAGGGTCGGGGGAAAGGAGGGTGGGAGTAGTATCGTCCTTAACGACCTACTGATAGTGTTTTAAAGCAAATATTTTCAGTGGCAGCATTGGTACTGTCGAATTCACAAATTATGAATTACTGAAAAGTAGAAAATAAAACAACTAAATAGCGGCGTATGATATGCAGCGGGTCGGCTCGTTAAACATAAACCTTATCACAAAGTTATGTTAAGGGCTGGGGTTTTTTTTCCGGCTTACTTGGCTACTTAAGGACAAACGCCCTGATGAAAACACCCACACTACACCACACCACACCTACACACATCAGCCACACACGCTCTGATAAAAACACCACACCCCACCCCACATCTACTCACATCAGGGTCAAAGTCCCCATTCAGCTCCTCCAGCTCCTCGGCAGTGAGTGCGTTGAGCAGGTCATCAAGATTGTCCAGGTTGATATCAGGGATGTCATCACTCAGGGCTTTCTGTAACACACTCATGGCTGCACTGAAAATCTGGGACGCTGCACGCTAGTAAATAAAAACACCTGGTGAGAATTCAAAAACAAAAATTAGCAGGAGAATACTCTAAATAATTCTATCCACTGGATATAACAAAACCTTTTTAAAAATTAAGACTAATTTTTATTTTTAAAAAATACCTGGCAAAAAGTTAATACGTAACAAATTAAAACAAAGTTTTATAAAATTTTCAGTAGATTTGCCAAAACTTTATAAAAAATATCATTAAGTTATATTTAAATAAAAGACAAGTTAACTCAGAACTTATTAAAAATTTCAACTAGGACATTATAGAATATTTTCAGGAAAAAAAAATCCAATCAAATTTTCAATATGTTTTTTTTACTGTTACACTTATGACAACTACTTAGAAAACCTGGAGCTATAAATCATATGTTTATTATTTTGCCTAGAGCTATAAATCATGTTTATTATTTTGCCTAGAGCTATAAATCATGTTTATTATTTTGATTACAGATCTAACTGGTTTGGTGGCAAGCAAGACAAATGACTCCTTTAGGTCTAAAGTGATGTAGTCTATAAAAAGACATGTGGACCATTGGACCCCTTGCGCAAATGTTGGCAGTGCCAACACTAGGTTTACAGCAGACAAATAAATCAACAAACGCTTAAGCCTAGACTTCCCAGCACCTCAACGCTGCCAAGACTGGCCACAGGTACTCATGTATCTTAGGACATGGTGGGATAAAGTAAAAACTATACAGCTAGTCAAAAAATGGTAGCTAACTCTATCTAAGACTGGCCAAAGGTACACATGTATCTTAGGACACAGTGGGAACATTGTAAAAACTATACAGCTTGTCAAAAATTGGTAGCTAACTCTATCTAAGACTGGCCACAGGTACACATGTATCTTAGGACACAGTGGGAACATTGTAAAAACTATACAGCTTGTCAAAAAACGGTAGCTAACTCTATCTAAGACTGGCCACAGGTACTCATGTATCTTAGGACATAGTGGGACATTGTAAAAACTATACAGCTAGTCAAAAAATAAAGACGTAATGTCCTTGAAATCAACTTCAATATTTAAAGCATGATTGAAATTAGCTTTTAGATATATTATAGTAAAAAAACCATAATGATCTTTGCCGCCATCTGTTAGTCACAAATAATGTCCAAAGGTGTGAATATGCTAAAGAAACCATGAATAAAACTAACCATGTATTTTATATACATATAAATAACTTGCTTTATAATAACACCCCTAGAGCAGTAATAAAAAAAAATTCTTCAAACCAACTTGACTAAACTTTCTATAGAAAGCAAATCTAGTAGCCTAAACTTGCACAGAATTAATATCCATTTATTTAATTAAGCCAGGCAATTAGCAATAAATGCAGAAAATTACCTCAGCCAATAGCCGGATTATACTATGTGTTCTACAAAGCTGAATGAGAGGGAAAAAAATCTGGCAACAAATCTCCCGTCATTATACTTTGCTTTAGAATAAAAATTCTAGTTTGTTGTAACAGTTGTTGGCCTATACATTTGTAAGCATCCTAAAATAAAACAGATCAGCTGACTGTATGTAAACAAACATGAGTCACATGATCCAGCATTGTTTATGTTTACACTTGTAACAGATGGAGACTAATGTTAAAAATTCAATATAAAAGGTAACAACAATTACAAGTGAAATAAAAAGTAATTACTGACAGAATAGTGCTAATAGGCCTAAGCTATTCTCACATAATGATTTAGCTAGTACCAATAAAAAAGATAGTTTAAACCCTAGCCCCACCTTGTACACTAGTTTAAACTTTGTACAAGTTTTACTGATGGCGCTCCCATCCAAACAAATATGAGGGTATGGCTAATCAATAAGAGCTGACAGGCCTAAGTGGAACACCCTGGAGCATACAGCATCAACAAGAGTAACATCAAGGAAGATCATGGCATAAACAACATATTTACAACTGTAGACAAGTATCTGAAGGTTATGTACATTTTTTTATGTATAGCAGTTCAAAGGTCGGAGGGAACAGGTGGGGTCATGTTTTAACTCATTATGTAAGGCCTGGATGGGACAGAGCATACCCACAGCAGGAGATAGAGAAATGGTTTCAGATGACCCAGCATATGACTATACAGGTTGGCCAGTAGACTTTTAGATGTATGGCAGTTCAAAGGTCAGAGGGAACAGGTGGGGTCATGTTTTAACTCATTATGTAAGGCCAGGATGGGACACAGCATACCCACAGCAGGAGATAGATAAATGGTTTCATATGACCCAGTACATGACCATACATGTTGGCCAGTAGACTTTTAAAGGGTTGGCTGTTCACATTGGCAAATACATTTTTTTTTTAAAAACGGACTACTAATCTGTTCTATATTGGGAAATAAACCCTGTAAGGCCCAATGAGCTTTCTAGTATGGATTAAGGATTAGTATACTTAGTATAAGGGCAAACAAACTTTCACGTGTGGGCTAATTAAGTTCCTTATAAGACCTAATTAAGTTTCGATGAGGTTTCTAGTATGGATTAAGGATTAGTATACCTAGTTTAAGGGCTAACAAACTTTCCAGTGTGGGCTAAATAAGTTCCCCATAGGCATAATAAGCTTTCTTATTCTAGTCTGGATTAATAGTTAGCATAAGGGCTAACAGACTTTCAAATGTGGGCTAAATAGGTTTCTAGTGACTAGTAGTGTGGGTTAAAAAACCTACTGTATGGGCTAATAACCTTTCTAATATGGATTAATATACCAGGTGGGCTAATAACCTTTCCCAACAGAACTAACAAACTCTCCATTTTGTGTGCCTAAAAAACGTTCCCATATTGGCAAAAAAAAATATTTTCTTATGTGGGCTTATAAGCTAATACATAGATATTCAGTTATCTATCAGAATACACTTCCAATGGTTTAATAATAAACATTGAAAGGTTAGCTTATATAAATAAAATAAACTTCCCCATGATAAAACAGGAACCACAGTATTCAAACACCACAGGATCGAACCTATGAGAAAGTTCACATGAAAGACAGGATTTTGTGTTGAATAGTATTAGGGGAAGGGGAGACTGGAGTTATGCCCCTTTCAATCAATATCTCAAGTCTATGCAAATAAAGAAGTTCATTCAATGCATACACCCTTTCAGGGTTAACACTCTTTTTGAAAGTTATGTAATAGGATTAAGGGGATAGTGTGTGTGTGTGTGGGGGGGGGGGGGGGGGAGATCGTGTGCATGGGGGGGGGGGGAGTACCGTAGGTGAGAAAGGTGAGTCTTTGCTTACACATGCTGTATTTAAGTATGCAATGTTCCCTCTAAGGAGAAAAAACTAGTGTGCAACATGTATTTTGTGTGCGCGGTGTTCTAAAAATCTTATACAGAGATGTATATATATTTTACAAAATCACTGCTCAAAACAACTGCGCGGCCGCGCAACCGCGAAGCTTAGAGGGAACACTCTAAGTATGTTAGCAGAGAAAATCAAAGCAAAATCCCATGGCTAAACATTACTGACGTAGTCTTTCGTTTCTGACTTGAGACTTTCTTAACCTAAGTTCAATCGAACTTCGGTAAGTCAGCCTCAAGTGGTTCGGCCGAGGTCAAGACACACACCCGCCTCACATGATTCACGATCGCATTTCGTCAGTGTGGATGATAGAACTATCAAGAAAGGTTCGGTAAATACGTATTGGAAACTGGTGGGGTTCAATACCTCCAAATAGGTTAAGAACCACTGCTTTAGACACTATCTCAAGTATCTAGATCTATTAACAATTTGTAGCCGATAGTAAATATTTTTGTAAAACTACTCTTAACAGTGATGTATCTAAAGTAGGCCTATCTAGATTTATTTACAATTTGTAGCTGATAGTATATTTTTGTAAAACTATTCTTAACACTTATTAACAGTGATGTATCTCAAGTATCTAGATCTATTAACAATTTGGAGTCGATAGTATATTTTTGTAAAAACAACTCTTAACAGTGATGTATCTCAAGTATCTAGATCTATTAACAATTTGGAGTCGATAGTATATATTTGTTTTAAAACAACTCATAACAGTGCTGTCATCACCAGTGTTGCTTATTACATATCAGCTGGCAGGTCACGTGATATGATCGATCCCACAGCTGAGACCGATGAATTACAAATCCGGACAGTGTTGACACCTACGGCTGACTCAACCACGGGTCATCAGCATCGACGGTACACGGTTTAATGGGTCAAAGGTGTATCGTCGTCTTTACATAGCCGTATCACTATCAGGCTTTTAAATAAGTCATCCGGATCTTAAAATAGCGGGACGTCCAGAAGTGACGTCACACACCGCAGAGGTAGGGCGGGGGGGGGGGGGGGGGGAAAGGGTTCTGATAATTGATAAATATGAGCTAGGGATGATAGGCAGAGTCTTTCGGGTATCTCAGTCTTATGGGCGGGGGGGGGGGGGGAAGAGACGGGACGGGAGGGGGGGGGCACGTCTACTGTACCGCCCCAGGAAGAAAGAGAAAATAGACAAAAATATGTTGTATACAATTTTATACTTTATTTAGCTAGTGTCCGCAACCCCTCACCAAAGGAGAAAAATATCTGAAAGAAACATTGATGTTCGGTATGGAAGGGGTGGGGGTGGGGAGAGAATGGCTTGACTGTATGAATTACTTATGTAATGTAATATCTCCTAAAAACTAAACACATAGGACTGGTTTTTTTTACATGCAACTTTCTTAGGGGCCTACATCAGCTAAAAAATAACATTACGTTATACAACGCAGACCAGACTGGATACATCGCTACAATATTATCACCGTACAGCAAGTAGGCCTAATATTGACAAGTTTGAAAGCAGGGGGAGGGGGAAGTGTTCTATAATGTATGGACCTAAACAAGCTATTAATAGCCAGAGAGCATGCGTAGAAAAAAACCAACCAAACCCTTGTGAAATCACACACTGGTGTTGTGTAGAGACCTCATCACACATTCATGCTATTTCATGACGTAGATAATATACGTGGGGAAGCTGTAGACTAGTGACCTTTATGTTGCTTTTTTTTTTATTAATCTAACACCTTTTGCTTTTTAATAACACGAAGAAATCTATACATTGATGTTGTATTTTTAAAAAAAGCAATGGAAAGGGGACCGAAGGTAGAGGTTCAACACTAATATATATATATATATATATATATATATATATATATATATATATATATATATATATATATATATATATATATATATATATATATATATATATATATATATATATATATATAGATATAGATATATATATATATATATATAAAGTGAACGTTTAGAATTAGATACATGGAGACCAAATACATGGCATTAACATAGACTGCAGGGTTGGCAGATAATCAGGAGTATTTTACTGCCCAAGTGTTTTCACACCGGAGGGGGGGGGGGGGCTGAAGCAGGAACACTAGCTATTTGTCTGGCACATCAAAGAATTCCCTTTGATTTTACAGTCGCCGATACGTTCGTGTTAAGATTACCTCTATAGCCTCTAAACTGTGCGCTTGCTGCAACGGGTAACACTGGGAGCCTTATGACTAACATTGGCTGGACTGAGGGACACAGGGGCGGTTGTCACCACCATTACAACACGCCCCCCCCCCCCCATCCAGAGGCGGGGCGACAACTGCTAATTTTATCTATCTATTTATCTATCTATCTATCTATCTATCTATCTATCTATCTATCTATCTATCTATCTATCTATCTATCTATCTATCTATCTATCTATCTATCTATCTATCTATCTATCTATCTATCTATCTATCTATCTATCTATCTATCTATCTATCTATCTCTATCTCTATATATCATATGCACGTGTAATTGTATGCGCCATTCGACCCTTTGATTTCAGCCTGCTTTTCTTTCTAGAGGTGCATCAAAGCCTTCATCCATCCAGGAACCTACAGGACAGCAGTTGTCTAGACAGTTGTCCCCAGCTAACGAGCCTCATCTACCTGGAGAACTAAACTCGGGTTAGCAACCATGTCCCCCTCCACCTCCTGATCACCACGCCCTCCCCTTTACGATGACGATTCTTTCATTGACCTGCCAAACGTGGTCACATGAACCAAACTCACAGTGGAGACATGCTGCCGTACAATATTACAGGAACAGGGGAGTTAACCAGATCTCCTTGTCAACAAGCAGCGTTAACAGACCCCTGCCACGGGGGATAAGCGGCGTCAAGGATGGATTACCGCCCTTGTGAGAACAGCCAGTGAAGGGAATTCTTTTGTTTTATCAACAAGGGTTCTCAAAATCAAAGTAGTAAGGTGGGAAAGGTAAAAATCAAGTAAACCAAGTATTAATCTAATTAGCTAAAACTAGCCGGTCATATAGAATGTTGGCACAGGTATAATGAACCAAGGGCAAAATTGTTTTATAAAAATACCAGCAGTGGTTCTCAAAATGTAGCGCAAAGCACCCAGATGATTAAATAAAAACCCAGGAGTACA